CCTCTCCTCTCCTCTCCTCTCTTTCTTCCTTCATTCCAGCATCTCTCTGGGGCCCTACAATATGCCAGGCTCTGAATGAAGCTGCTGAGGAAACAGAGATGAAAGCTCTCATGGCAGTGTAATGGAGGAGGCAGATGTGGGCCCAGAGAATTAGGTCATGTGCCACAGCTGCCACCCGTCCTTACTCTTTACTGAAAATAATACGCCGAGAACTGATTCTTTTTTGGCATGAGTATCTCCTCCATGAGCCGCTGTGGTCTAAGAACAGTGGTTCCCAAAGCTGTGGCCCCAGACCAGCAGCACTGGCATCACCTGGGGACTTGAAAGAAATGCCGATTCTCGGCCCCCATCCCAGACTGAATCAGAAACTCTGGGGGCGGGCCCAGCAGTCTGTTTTAACAAACCCTTCTGGTCATTTTGATGCCTGGCAGAGTTTGAGAACCCCTGCCTTAACAAGCCATGCTTCTCTACCTCGGCCGCACAGTCAAATCCCCTGGGAGCTTTCAAAAAATATGACTGCTCATATCCACCCCAGACCAATTAAACTGGGGTCTCTGGGAATGGGGCCTGGGCCTCCGAATGTTTAAGGCTCCCCTGGGTGAAGCAAATGAACCGCTGCCTTAGCAGATGAAGGGCCAATATGGGATGCCAATAAAGGCCTGGCTGAAGCCAACGCAAAGGTTCTGGGCAGAGCCGGGGGCCCTCCCCTCCTCCCAAGTCAGCTTCACTGGGCACTGGGGAGCCTCTGCATTCTGTTCTTCTCCAGGCTTCTCTCCCAAGCATGAACTTTGTTCAGACATGCAGCAGAGCCAGCCTTTTCAACTAACTCTTGCAAAGTAGGCTCGGGAAAGAAACGTCAGGGGTACTAAAGCTGCCAACTTCATCCTTGTTGAGCAATGATTCTCGATCAGTCATACAGGCAAGGGAGTGAGAGGTGACTCACCTACCGAGCGGTCTGTGCCCAGAATGTTCAGAGCTTTGGAACACTCTGGGTATGAGTAACTCCAGGCACTTTTGGTTCCTTTTTGTCGTCTTTGGGTTATTCTATTTCTGATTTGAGTTGAATCACATATTTATAATTTACATAGCTCATTTACATTATAATTTATACATATATCACATTATAATTTATGTACTTATAAATTATAATTTATATCACAATTTCATACATTGTAATTAGCAAGGGCATAGAAGGTATAATAATCAAAATAGTCACAAAAACAGATACTGCCTAAAAAAAATATAGATACTGCCTGTTGAGTGCCTACTGGGTGCTGGGCATTATGTTGAGCACTTTACATCCATTGTTGCAATAAGCTTCAAAACAATCCAATGTATATGTTTTACCATATCACCTCCTTTATCAGGATGAGAAACTGAGGCTAAGGAATGTTAAGTTACTCACCCAAGGTGACATAGAAAATGGCAAAGTCAGGGTTTGAACCTACTTTTGTCATCAAAGGTCATACTTTTAGTCCCAGTTTCTACTGGCTCATATCATATAATAATATTAAAATTATCTAGTACAAAGCATAAATAATAGGCTACTAAATAATACTTTATTCATAATATTATACATAATTTAATGCAACTATACCTAATATAACCTCAATAAATGCTATATATGGAAATCTTACAATTTAAAGCTACATATATAGTATCAATTTTAGGTCATTTGTATTCCTAACCAACGATGTTATATTTAAAGACCATTCTTGGAATGTTACATTGAGAATATATGGTTTCTTTGAAAATACTAGATGATTACTAATATACAGTATTAAAGGAAAAAAACAGGATACGAAAGTATATATTAATTTTGCAAAAAACATATACATATATTTTATGTACATGGGTAAAAAGGGTAAGTATCTCAAATCTTTCACAGAAATTATGATTGGGTAGTTGGACTGCAAGAGGTTTTTATTTTCTTCTTGATACTCAGAGCCAGAACAAGACACTAGGGTGCCCAGAAAGGCTGATGTTTGGGGTTCCTTCAGACTAATGCTCTTTCAAGTTTTGTAGTTAGTGGACAAATTAATAATAAGTAATATTTAAAATATAAAAAAATAAATAAATATGAAATATAAAAAATAAAATAAATAATTTTATTTAGTGGACAGGGAGAAATTGGTTACCTGTTGATAAATATTGTGTAAAAATGTAGATTCACTTCCTGATTTATTTCTACAGACTCAAGTAGAGTTCATGTTCTGGAGAAAAAAATATTTCCCACTTTTCTGTGGCTCTTATTCTTTCTCCTTGTAAAATTCTAAACCCTGCAATTTATTGGGAGACGTATTAGTTTAAAATTTAGATATTAAAGTAAATTACTCATTTCTAGCCCTTTGCCAGGCATAATTTAAGTTTCTGGATTTCAGTCAACTGCGACATGAATGATACAAAAATTCTGCAGAGACAGATTGATGGCAGCGAGGATTGATTTTGCTTTTATATTTCTCCCTTCCTTGAGTTTTGCCTGTTACATAAAGGGTCCCATGTGAAAACAAAACCTGCATTAACCAGCACCACATGTCCATTTGAATCCATAAACATGTCAGCACTTTTTGTTCATTCTAGAAAATTTGGAAAATACACAGATAATGAATTTTCAAATCAGAAATTCACATGGAATTAATTGGGAAGTGTTCCCTTTTGTTTTTGGGAGAGTTTGTGGAGAATTGCTATTCTTTAAATATTTGGCAGAATTCACCAGTGAAGTCATCTGGTCCTTGACTTTTCTTTGTGGAAATTTAAAAATTACTAATTCAATCTCTTGTTACATAGGTCTATTCAGATTTTCTACTTCTTCTTGAGTCATTTTTGGTCATTTGTAGCTTTCCAGGAATCTGTCCATTTCATTTAAGTTATCTGATGTGTTGGCATATAGTAGCAATATTCTTTTTCAGCTCTGTAAGGTTATTCTCTCTCATTGGTGTCTTCTCTCTCATTCCTGACTTTGTTAATTTGAATTTTTTCTCTTTTTTCTTGGTTAGTGTAGCTAAAGATTTGTCAATTTCACTGATATTTTTAATGCATGATGGCTTTTCAGGTGTTCATTTCTTAAATTATGCCACATAAGTTACATATGTTACATATACTCTGTTGTATACATAAAACATTGCAGAATAAAAATTGAGAAGAAATAAAGGAAAAAAGAATCATGGTGCAGTTGATTGTCTTAAGAAACTTACTAGGCCATAGGTCCTGTATTTGAGTTTCACATTGAATTATTTGCTTATTCATATAAACTAATTTCTAAATTCTTGTGAATTCTAACTTTTAAATGGAACTAGTATTTGCTTCACAAAACAATGAAGTAGTTTATACACTGTGAGATATTTGGGTGACAGGTGATAAAAATGAAACAGTGTTTATACCAGTGCTAATATTACTGACAAATTAGACACTGCATTAGGGCTGCCCTAACAAAGCATTATAAACTGGGGGGCTTCAAACAACAGACATTTATTCTCTCACAAATGTCCAAAATCAGGTTGTCAGCAGGGCCATGCTCTGTGAAACCTGTAGGGGAGAACCCTTCCTTGCCTCTCTTACTTCCTGGTTGTTACCAGCAATCCTGATGGTCTTTGGCTTAAACTATATCACTCCAGTCTCTGCCTCTGGCATCACATGGCCATCTTCTCCCTGTGTGTCTTTATCCTCTTTTTATAAGGACACCAGTCATATTGGATTAAAGGCCCACCCTACTCCAGTCTGACACCATCCTAGCTGCACCTGCCATGACCTTATTTCTAAATAAGCCTACATTCTGATGTACTGGGGGTTAAGATTTCAATATATCTTTCTTGGGGGAGACAATCAACCAAACAGTCATGTTCTAGTCTAACTATAAACATTTGTGTGTGACACTCCAATTTCTAGAAGCATATCAAAGTGTCTTTTCTGCTTACCCTTGTCTTTATTTATTTTTTAAACCTCTTCCCTAGATTGATGATATGTTTAATGAAATCAGATATAGTGAGTATGTGGACACTGGGAAGCTAATTGACAAAATCAACTTACCAGACTTCCTCAAAGTCTACCTCAATCATAGGCCACCTTTTGGTAACACCATGAGGGGCATCCAGCAGAGTTTTGACATTCTTGGTTTTACCAATTCAAAAGGAAAGAAGGTTATTCGAAGAGAGGATTTCCTAAAACTGCTTCTAACTAAAGGTAAATACTTAAATGGGGATATTCTATAACCTTGCGGGCCATCCCTCTGAAGAGAACTGAGCCTGGGGAGAGCCCTGGCATCTGTCCCATGACAGGGCTTTAACTGGGAGGGGTGCTGCTTACTGCTCCTCCGGGCTGGCAAATGTGGGGCAATGGGAAGGATGCTGAGCTGGCAACCAGAAGAATGCAGTTCACGCTCCACGTTGGTGGAAACTGCAAGATTCAGTGCCCTCACTTGTGAAAGGGGAATAAAAGTGCCAGGGATATTATGAGATGGGATGCATTTGTAAAATAAAACCAGAACAAAGTAAAAATGTTCATTTTTACTTGCTATTTGCCTCGTTATTTTATGTGAGAAAGACAAGCTTGCTCTCTAGGTGTCAATTTCATCTTAGTCAAACTGGTGGTTCTAATGTAAGGGAACGTGAAATGCAGCTGAGCACACACTTTATCAGAAAGTGGTCTTATTTTTCCACACAAACCCCAACATATTTTCCCTGATTGGAGTGCCATTTTCTAACCATATAAGGAAGTATTTGTGACAGTCACATGGGACTCTCTAGATTGTTTTTGTGTCTCAAGTAAAGGAAATAGAATAATTCTCCTTAAGACCTCAGAATGATGGTACTAAGCTCTGACATTATGCTTGGTTCCAAGAGTTGAACAGCCGCCTTTTTCCTTTATGATACTTAGGTGAGCACATGACAGAAGAGGAGATGTCTGACTGCTTTGCTACGCTGTTGGGGCTGAATCCTGAGGGGTGGAAATCTGAGCCTGCAGCCTCCTCCGTGAAAGGTACTGTGGCTGGCTCTGTCTGGGCATGTAGCGTGGCTCACTAATTTGTTGTAGACTTAAGTGCATTTACTTCTCCTGACTGGTGCAGGCCACTCTCTTAACACCATGCACACAACAAAGCAAGCCTGTCGGGAACCCAACATGAATAACTTATGAAAGACCAGCAGCGGCACTTCTGTCTAAGAGATGAAAGCTTTGTTGCTGCATTCTGTCTTCTGGCCTTGTGATTCCCTTTATTCCACCGACCCAGTCTTCATCTCTCCAGCTTGCAGGGGTGAATATGGGCCACTAGTAGAGGATACAGGTCAGATGCTCTTTCGGAAGAGGTGTTGTCAAGACAGACTTGAATAGAGAATAATGACTTGGTAGACATGCAAGCCAGAACTTTAAAGTTTTTAAAGATTCTCTTCCTCTCCTTTGCCACCTGAGGATTTCCCACCTCCTGAAGTTAGGTTGCAAATTTAAGCTCAGGAGTAATGAAGCCAAATAGCTCTCCTGGGCCTGCTTGAATGTCTCTGGGACAGGCCAGGATACTGTCCCGATGACCCCAGGGTGGTCCGAGCCTGCCACCATTGATGAGACTGGAGTTAGGAGCAAAGGTGTCTCATTGCACTTCCTTCTCCCTTTCCTTTTCTTGTCCATTCCCAGTTTCAAGTTAAATGGTGCTCCTAAACCAGTGTCTGCTCAGTCACTTCCACCTGAAAGCTCCCGACTCCATTCCTTGCATATCTAGGATCTCAGAATGTGCCTCTCTCTATTGGTGTATATTTATGTTGTGTTTCTAGGTGCCTCGAAACGATTGAGTTAATGAGACCATGTAGTTAAGGCTTTCCAGTGGTTTGCAGAGGTTGGTTAACAATGCTCCAAACCATAAAGGAGTTGTTGTAACCAGTTTCTACCCAGAGGTTTTCAAGGAATCAAAGCCAAACCATAGCACAAAGCACCTCTCACTTTTGTTTAGTTCCATTTCCTTGTATCTTTGGAAAATGCTTCTGATTTAGAAACCTAATCATTATGAAGGCATTTGTTTTCTTTTCCTGTTTGGCTAGGTTCAGAAATTTGCTTTGAAGAAGACCTTCCAGAAGAAATCACTGCAGAAATATTCACAACTGACATTCTTGGCTTAACCATTTCACAAGATTTCAGACAAGATCCTATGGTCAGTGAAGTTGTAAGGAATGTTTGAAGCACAAGGGACTTTGTGTGGGGTTTATTTTTTTCTAAGAGGCACTGCTTTTCCTGCATTTCCCTGCCCCCACTTTAATCTTTAGAACATTTAGACATTAAAAGCAAATTTCTGTTAAGCAACGGAATTCACAAAGTTGGACATTCCACTGTTTCTGAAATAGAAAAGTGGGTGGAGGGAAGAAAAACATTGGCAGCTGGATGCCCATGGTGGCTAGACACCCTGGCCTGTTTTGTGCCTGAGCAAAGGCAGTGCTGCCTGGAGGGGCGCTTGACAAGAGTGGAGGCAGAGTGCTCCCTGGGGGTCCCTCAGCTGGCAGCAGACCTTCCGAGTCACACGTGTGTCCTTATTCCCTTCCCCTCAAGTATACCTGGACCCTTGGCCTGACATGGCCCAGTGTGCATCACCTCTGCCTGCTGTTTGGCCGGAGTAGGGCTGCTGGGTGCCCTGGGCTCCTGAGAGTCCCTCGTTGTGGCTTCTTATCAGCAAAACAGCCCAGCAGCAGCAGTTGTGTGTGGCTGTTACGAAGAGCATCACTGGCCATGCTGAACCCCGGCGGCAACTGCCAGATAGAATGTAAAATGCACCCTGGAGCCTGTGTGTGCTGCACCTGCACCGGAGGCCACGCAGCCCTGCTCAGCCCCGCTGGGAAGAACTCGGCCACCAGTGGCTGTGAGGCCCCAGCCCTCCCACCCCTCACACTGCCCCCTCCCCTCACTCCCCGACCCCCCCACATACACAACACACACATCACACACACCACACAAACCAATGTGATTGATTTGCCACCTTACACTCTGCTGGACTTCAAAACAGGTATTAGGCAAAAACAAGCTAGTTCCCCCTCTCAGGGGATGTTTAGGGAATATCAGCAGTGTTTTACCTTGAAAACAGGGTACCATCCTTGTGTAAACAGATGAGAGTCAAGGTCTGATTGTAGAGTTTGTCATCAGTAATGAGGTCTCACTCAGGCAAATGTGCCACATGTTTTTCTCCACTATGCTCAGTTCAACACAGCCTCCCACCCAAACCAGGTCCATCCCCAGAGAAACTAGCATTTCAGATAACATTTCTGACCCCCTTAAAGGTGCTTTCTCCAAGGAGCAGAGATCTGTGTACAAGAAATAGGATAGCACAGCACCCTCCTTCCATCCTGCACAGAGCCCCCCAGTGTATGGCTTCCACTTGGAAATTTGGCACAGTGATTCTGTGGAACATCGTGGAATGTAGAATGGAACCAGTACCCCAAGCCATGCTGTGTCCCTGCAGGCTGGGGACAGACAGTGTGGGCTGTTCCACCTGCTTATCAGATTGTGTCACCAGGGCTTCACAACCTGGTTTACATTTTGTTTTCTTTTATAAAACACACACACACACACACACACACACACACACACACACACACACACACACAAAACAAGCTTTATGAATCAATTTTGCAGCTGCTAAGGGCTAGGAGATATATTACCAAGCCAGTTAAGAAGTTCCTGGGGACGTTTTAGGGAACAGGAAACTCTCAAATGACTTGTTCTCAAAAAGTAACTCAGAATTGGATGCAGTCTGAACACCAACTATGGGCTTCTTTCATTAAATCCGGCACACTCTGATTTTCTTCTTATTGACTACATATATTGGAATAATTGTCTTGAGCAGAATTGACCAGTGACCAGTTGGAGCCACTCTGGCTGCATTAGTGAGCTGGAGCCACTGTCACCTGGCCGCAGTGCTCCCTCTGTGCCGAGCCACTGTCCTGTGTCTCACTTTAAGTCAGCAGAGGGACAGGATGGCCCTTCTTATAACCTTCATCTGGGAAGTCCAAAGCAGCAAGGGGTAACAGGACCTGTTTCAATGGTGTGCCCACCTGCTAGCAGCCCGGGCTGGCCAGCGGGCCCCTCCTCGCCTTTGGACCCCCTTCCGCAGGGCTGAGGTGGAGGGTGGCGCGTGTGCACTGCAGACCTCTGCCTCCCAGCCCTGTAGCGCAGCCCACTGGCCATACAGGTCGTGGGAAGGCAGACCATTAACACCCCATCCAGGGGAGGAGGCGGAGGGCGATCTTCCTGCCAGGGCAACAGAGAACACTCCAGCAGCGCACATGGCAGAGCAGCAATACCAGAGAGGAAGAAGGAGAGGCCAAGACTGTATTGGGCCTGCATATCAAGACCTGGGGACAAGACAAAACACCAAAAAGCACATGGTGATGTTCTTTTGACAAAAAAATACTATACATCCCGGTTTGAGTAGCAGTGGTTTCCAGGAACCACCAAGAGCACCCCCAGCAGCCACCCCCGACTCTCAGCCCTCCTGCATCTGGCAAGCGTCTTATTTGCACAACATCTGCCCTGGAAGCCACAGCTGGGCTGGGCTGCATGTTAGTGGCTCCTTGCTTGCCCCTGGGTGTGGCTAATATCTTAAACTTCAATGTCCTCCTGGAACAACTCCTGCCGACTGAAAGGATTAAAAAAGATAGTGCAAGGAAGCATTACTGGCATGAGGTAGCTCTCAAAATAGGCCGGCAGCTTTTACTGTTATAGGCAGAAACTGTGCCTGAGACTTGGGAAGACATCTGATGAGAATTATCCTCCCCCAATTCCAGAGTTTCAGCGTCAGTGAACACTTGCTCAAACAGGGGTATCTGCCAATTTGAACAATGGGCCCTCAATAAACACCCGGAGAATGACTGACGCCTCAGGGCTCCATCAGCAGCTGACTTGGCTTTGTGAAAAGTGAATGCCAGGTACTCACAGGCCCTCTACATCAGGGTCTGCAAACTCTCTGTAAAGGGCCCGGCAGGAAATACTGAGGCTCTGTGGGCCACATGGGCTCTGTTGCAACTTCTGGGCTTGGCCATTGGAGACAAAAGCAGCCATAGGTAGTCCAGAAAAGAATGGTGTGGCTACGTTTCAATCAAATTTATTTATGGACACTGAAATTTGGATTTCATGACAATCTCCACATATCATGAAATCTTCCTCTTCTTCTGATTTCTTCCAACCATTTAAAAATGTGGAAGCCATTCTAAGCCTGTGGACCACACAGACAGCAGGGAAGATTGCTGTCCCACAGGCTGCAGTTTTCTCTATCACAGGGGCCAAGATCACTTATGCCAACAGACTTCTACAAACACGATGAATCTGCACAAAATACCTGACTAATGCTCTTCAAAAATGTCAGGGTCTTGGCAAAGTGGAAAGGACTGTGAAACTGGCACAGATCAGCGGGGATGGAGGAAACCTGAAGACAAAATGCGAAGTGGAATCCTGGATTTCAGGGACAGAAAGAGGACATTAGGAAAAACTGGTGGAATCCAGGTAAAGTCTGCAGTTAGTTCATGTTAATTTCTGAGTTTTGGTCAGTGTGTCATGTTTAAATAAGCTGTGCCCGCCAGGGAGGCTGGAAGGAGGGCCTGGGGTCCTCTGCAAACATGACCCTCTGCTGTATTTCAAGGCAATGCAGCTAAAAAGGGTCTTTTTTTTTTTTAAAGATCTCTGTCCCTAAGCACAGCTCCCCTAGACACTGGTGTTTTCAGCCTGAGCCTGCTCTTTAGGGAATTAGCCAGAAGTTCCCCTCCAGGCAGCTGGTTCAAAATTGACTCTAATTAATAGAAACAGGGCACTTGGAATCAACAGCAAGTTGCCACCCTACTCATCTTTCATATAACTACCCTCTGCTAGCTTGACTTAAAGGAATATTTGTTTAAAAACCCAGGTTGATGCAACATTCCTCAATGGCAGTGCAATACTGTGTCGGGACTGATCTCATGGAACAGTAAATAGCAGGGTCCCTGTGCTCTTTAGCCTGTGTTTTCTTAGGCTACTGATGCCTAAAGCAGGCTTTGTGCCTTTCTCGGTAATGGTGGGTATTTATCCATGCTTAGGTTAGAGGCATCAGGCCCAGGAAGGTCACTGTCCAATGCTGGCACCACTGCTTTTTTTTTTGATAGTTTGAAATCACTAGTGGTACAATGGGGAAGTTAAATACCAAAGCCACCTCTAGCCCCCTGAAAGGGACTGAATCATTGTGTTCTGTACCCATCCCCCATGTTGTTGTTTTGTTGATTGGAAATCACAAACCACAGCAATGTAAACACGGTATTTATTTTTGTATATCTTACTCTTTAAAGAAAGTTGGGGGTGTTTTCTTTGAAAGGGAGACAAATTTAGTTGCAACAACTAGTATATGCTCCTTGCCAGCACTTCAAACAATACACAAGTGTGTGCTGTGAAGTGGAAGTCCCCTGTCTTGCTGACCAGCACATCTGCCCTGGAGTAGGGAGGAGTGGGCAGTGGCATGGACCACAGGCCTGAGGCGCAGAAAACACATCAAGTACAGGGAGACATGGGGCCGCAGCGAACCCAGAGCACATGGTCCTACTTAAGGGGCTGGCTGCTGCCTTGCATCTCTGTGGGGATTTGATTTCTTCATAGAAGGGCTTCGTTCATCCATTCACAAACTGAGCAAATATTTACCATGTGCTAGTACTGTTAGGGCTGGGTGTGCAGTGGTGAACAGGACAGACACATACCTTGTCTTTAGGGAGCTCATATTAAATATAAAAATATCATTGCAAATGATACTCAGAGGCATAAAGAAAAGGCCCTGGTCTATGAAATAGAAAATACCAAGAGGGGAATGGGCTTTATTTAAGGTAGTCAGGAGGGTCTCTCCAAAGATGAGACGTTGAAGTTGAGAGCCGGTCATGGAAAGACATGGAGCAGAATATTCCAGAGGGAACAGTGTGTACTACAGCCAGAAGCATTCAGTGAAGCAAAGGTTTGTGCGGTCAAACTGTAGAAGGGGATGTAGACTCAAGATGAGGCCCACAGGAGTCTAGAAGGTTCTGTTGTGTTCCTTCAACACTATTGTGTGGCTCCTCCTCACAAGTCTGAATAGGAATGCTTTCATGTGGGCAGTTGGCAAGAGGAATGGATCCATGTGGAAGAGCTGGCTGTTCTCATTTCCTTCTGTCCAAAGAGTTTTGATGGAGAGTGAGCTGTCGAGGATTCCAGGGAAGACCATAAAGAAGTCATGTGTGGAGGCCAGCCCTAAAGTTGGTGTGTTCTTTCACATGACACTAGCCAAAGGTAGAAAAAGCTCATGGTGAGTTTCAGCCCCATAACGCCTGAGTCGGCATCCTTCTTAGTTTTCCAGGAATTTCAACATTTTAAAAAAATGTAATAACCATGATTTTCTCAGTGATCTTGTCCCTTTATGCATAGTCATGTTGAAATATACATTCCCCTGAGATGCTAGTGATCACCAGAAGGCAGCCTAGTTTACAGTAACACTTAAAAAAATGCTTGCCACTTACTTCTTCCTCAGTGTCCTGCTGGTCACCTCTACCTCTACTGCTTTTCTAGAATAAATGACAGAATGGCTATAACTTGTATACTATAGATCTTCTAACTAATAGTGACCTTGGTGTCAATGACGTATGCTAAGCCCTGAGATACAATGACACAAAGCATGATTCCTCCTCTTAAAAATGTTACATTGTAGTGAGGGAAACAGATATATCAAGAATAATTACAGTATCTTGTGTTATGTTAGAGGGGCACCCAGAGCAGATGGGGTGGGAAGAAGGAGGACATCAAGGAAGGTGGAGGAGAAATTACATAAATGAGGTACTCTAAGCCAGTCTGAGGGCTGGCTGCAGGTGGTGGCAGGAAAGCAGCCCAGAGAAGGCAGTGGTCACATTATGGATGGACTTGTGTGCTAAATCAAGGAGGCTAAACGTGAAGGGAGGGAAGGGGATCAGAGTTGCATCTTAGAGGCATAAGACAAGGTAATGAGTAGAAGTGGGTGGCTGAGGAAAGAGTCAGCAGTGAGGAGACTGTTAGTTTGGGGAAAAGTGAAGGATTGCAACAAGAGAAGAGGCACTCAGGAAGTATAAAGAAGTCTAAAGACTATGGTTAAATGTGATACCAATGATTATCTTTGGTTTGCAGCAATAGAAATTGGCTCTGGTTAGCTTAGGTGGAGAGGGACTTTATTTGAAGGCTATCAGTTAACTCACAAAATCAATGGAGAGACTGGAGAAGCAAGTTCTGAAACTGAACAGGAGCCAAAAAAGGCCAGGATGCCAAAGGCACTGCTCCCACGGACAGCTCAGCCCCTTCAGTCCTCTTAGGCTCTCTAGTCCTCTTAGGCCATTTCTGCTGGAAGTCATTTCTCCACAGCTTCCATGCTGCCTCAAAAACCATAGTCAAAATAAAAACCACAATGAGATACCACTTCATCTCCACTGGGATGGCTAAAATAAAAAAGACAGAAAAGAACAAGAGTTGGTGAGGATGTGGAAAAGTTAGAAGCCTCCTACCCTGCTGATGGGAATGTAGAACAGGGCAGCTGCTTTGGAAAACAGTCTGGTGGTTCCTCAAAATATTAGCCATATGACCCAGCAATACCTCTCCTAGGTATATAGGTAAGAGAAATGAAAATACACATCTGCACAAAACCTATATACGAATGTTCACAGTGACATTATTCATAAGATTCAAAAAGTGGAAACAATCCAATGCCCTTCATTGAATGAATGGATAAACAAAAAGCAGCAAGTCCATGCAATGGAATACTATTCAGCCACAAAAAGGAATGGATTAAAACATGCTACAACATGGAGGAACATGGAAAATACGCTAGCATAAAGAAGCCAGACACCACAGGACACATATTGTATAATGCAGTTTATGTGAAATATCCAGAATAGGCAAATCCACAGAGACAGGAAGTAGATTCATGGTTGTTAGGGGCTGGTGGGGAGTGTGGAAGGGGAATGGCTGCTAATGGGAACAGGGTTTCTTTTTTAGATGACAAAATGTCCAAAAAATGATTGTAGTGATGGTTTCACAACTCTACGAATATACTAAAAATCACTATAAAAGGTTAAGTCTTATGGTAAGTTAATTATAATTTAATCAAGCTACTTAAAAAAATCATCCAGCTAGACCATCTATCTGCCCAGGCTCAGTTAGGTCCTACCCATGCTCAGGACCTAACTCCCACAGTGAAGAGTGAGACAGGTCCCCTCTAGCTTCCGTGCGTGGGGGTGGTCTTCCCCTCAAAGGCTTATCCAGAACTAGGAAGGGTATTCAGATACTAGGTAGCTTGTGGGAGTAGGCGGAAAATATCTGGGCAGCCTTTTAGATTCCTGACCCAAGAATTTGCCAAGCCTGTTTGTGGATGGATTCCAACTTTACTCCAAGTCACCAGGTCATCACCAAACAGTCTGCATTTAATCATTCATTGTTAGGAGAGTGGTAGATCACACTGTTTGACCTTTGAACACATCCATCTTTCAAAGTACTTTATATCTAACACCTCTTTTACGACCTCAAGGGGCCCAACTTTTTTGGTAAGCCAGTGGCTGCATGGATGGATATACAAATTGCCAATCCACTGGTAGGTATTTGAGCTGGTGACAATTTTTATAGTTGTGTAAGTATAGTTGTAGTTACAGGCAAGAAAATATGCAGAAAGGGAGATTGTAGTATCTGGTTTATCAAAATTCTTTTCAAGGTCTCCCCAGTCGATCTGAACCTCATAAAGCCCACACTTAAGGGGTGCCTCCTCAAGGGGAGAACTTCCCTACAGTAATTTGGAACCCCATTAGGTTCCAGCAAGTGGTATGCTGGTAAATGTTTGCCAACCAACCCTGGGTTGGGGAGGGAGAGGGGAGTCCTGATGTATAGCATTTGCCAATTTACATAGTGTCAATACCTCCACCATGGCTGATTTCCAACTAATCACAGTGAAGGTGGAGTGGGAACATAGAGATCACCATCAGGAAAGCCATGGGTTCTGGCCAGGACTCTGCTAAATGGACTGAGTCTGCTGGATTTTCATGTCCTTTTCCGTGACAGGAGGGAGGCTTGGTCCTTTGCAGCATACCCTTCTGTTCCTGTGTCTGAGGAAGGGACTATATTTCATTCTGTGGTTGGCGTGTTCTCTTTAAAGTTTTCCCACATTGCTGGGCCTTGCTAACGGCCTGCTCCCCAAACACCAAAGCACCTCTGTTTATGAAAACAATACACTGAGCTGCTGCTGCAAGTTGCTAGGTGAGGGCAGAGGCTGCAAGAACTCAGGAGCTGGGCCTATGTTTTCCACTCAATGACACATCCCCTGTCTCAGCTCCACAGAGGGAAACCTCCTGCACCCCTGGGGGTGAGCCAGGCTCCACCCTACAGGAGCTGTAACAGGAGGAGTGAACTAAGGGTTGAATTTAGCAGCCTGGGAAGAAGTAGTTTGGCTTCAGTCCCTAGTGTGGATCATAATGATGCTAAGGATCATACAGGCCCTTCATTTAACAAATACTGCCCAGCCTCCAGTCCTGACCATGTGCCAGGCACTGTTCTCAGTGCTCAACAAATACTGTCTTTGATTCTCCTAACAACTCTGTGAGGCAGGTGTTGTTATTATTTTCATCCCCATTTCACAGAGAGTTAAGACACAGCCATAACTGAACAATTCATGTCTGCAACCCTCAGATCACCCTTTAACACATCTGGAATAAGAACTAGCATTCAGAGCAAGCTTGACTTCTAGTTTCTGGTAACTAGTTTTTCAGATGAACTCTCAAGCTGAATGCAACTAAAAACACTAGAAGTATTTTAAAACATCCCGAGAACCACCACATGCTGACAAGATAGTAAGGAACAGCTGAAATGCGAGGAAAGAGACCCCTGAAAGATAATCTAGCAAAGAAGCTGCTTTAACACTGCAAGTATTTGCCCAGCCTAGCATATTTGAACCCCAATATGTATGTTTTTTTGAGGCAATGTCAGAAATCAAAGCTCAGGGACCACACACTAAGTGGGAGATGAGACCTTCTCCATGGTAATTTGGGATCCCACCTGGCTCCACCAGTGGTATGCTGGTTAATGTTTACCAACCAGCTCTGGGCTGGGAAAAGGATCCTGATGTATATATAGCATTTGCCAATTTCCATAGTATAAATACTCCTGCCACCACAGATTTCAAACTATCAATATGAGGTCACTGAACACAGAGGGGGGGAGTGCAGGCCTGCCAGTGACTCCACCCTCAGGGCAAACCAGTAAGCAAACCAGTCTTGCTCAACTGGGCAGCCTGTATTTGCATCACCTGGGTGGTCCAGGGAACCACAAGTTATGGAGGTAGGTAGTCCTGGACTGGCAGTGCCCTCAGGAGCCTGGCAGAAGCCAATGTAATTCATCTCTAGAGAAAGGTAACTTCATCCTAGTCCTCAAATTGTCTTCACAAATAAATTTTAAAATGCAGTGTCAGCATGGTCAAAGAGAACCAGGCAGATCACAAGGAAATAGGATACCATGAGCAAGACCCTCAGATACTTGAGATATTAGAATTATCAGACAAGAGACTGTAGAACAACTGTGCTTTGTTGAAAGAAGTTTAAAAATATCTGCAGGGGACAGGAAACTATAAAAAGTGACATACTGTATTTATAAAGAACATTTGTAGAAACCTTTACAGTTTAATCAGAGATCAAAACCACAAATAGCTTCAGGGGCCATCTGGTAACAGAAATGAGTCAAGTGATTGGTGACACACTGGTGACCTGGAGAGCTTTGTCTGAGGGGTACAGGGCTTCTGAGTTCCAGCTGATTGTTGCCACATGGCCCTTAGGGCTCAGTTTGCAGCTCTTCTGCTACCTCTAGAGAAGCTGGATATTTGGATTTTTTATTGTAAAAGTCATATAAAAGTGACCACTGTAGCCATCTTGAAGTGTACAATTCAGTGGCATTAAATATATCCCCAGTGCTTTGCAACCACCACCACTATCAGATTCCGGAACTTTTTGTCAACCCTAAAGGAAACCCCATACTCATTAGCAGTCTCTCCCCATTCCCTGCTCCCAAGCCCCTGGAAAATACTACTCTGTTTTCTAATGCCATGGGTTTGCCTCATCTAGGTATCTCTTGTAAGCAGAATCATACCATATTTGTCCTTTTGTGACCAGCTTCTTTCATTTAGCATGTTTTCAAAGTTCATCCATGTTGGGGCATGTATCAGTACTTCATTCTTTTTTAATGGCTGAAAAATATTTGATTGTGTGGATATTTATTTACACATCTATCCATTCAGTTAATGTTTAGATTTTTGAGATGATATCTCCCTGTTTTAAATTCAAATACATATATTAAAAAGTTCTGTTTGGCCCTAAGCACATTTCTCCTGGTCAGAATACTGTCAGAGGGCCAAGAGTTGAAACCTTTTTTATGACTCACTGTTACCTATTTTCCCATATAACCCTCAGAATGATTCTCTAAGGGAAAAGTTATCTTCATTTTTAACATTAGAAACTCCAGTACCACAGTTTTTCCTCAAAGCCAAAACCTCAGGGGAAACTGATTGGTTCTAGGATGAGTGGGAGTCAGGGACCTAGGCTATGGTTATGACCTTGAGCTTCTCTGGGACTCAGTTTCCCGCACCCCACCCCTCTAAAATGACTGATGCCTGGCTAGTTTATCTCGAAGGCACTGGGCTTGCTGACAGGTGTCCCGCTTTCCCCAGCATTCATCTGGGTATGAATCAGCTCTGGTCAAGGCGGTTTAGCTGCAGCTGAAACTCGAAGATGTGGCACCTGGGTTGTCCTGACATTTACAGGTTCCTCTGCGTTGCTGTCTTGAGGCCGAAGGGGAAGAAACAACCTCAAAAGTTCTCTTTGGAGGCTGGCCAGTCCATTTTCCCTGCTACCTTTGTGCAGTAGCAGCACCTGGTCTGAGCCTAGGACTTCAACTGCGAGTGGCTTAAATTTACATCGTGGTTCTGCGACAGAAACCCAGCCTGGGACCCCCACCTTATTTAAGGCCTGGGCAACTTATCTCCAGGGGGGAGAGGACAAGCCCCTGTTGGAATGCTGATAATCGCGGGGCTCTTCCTGACACTGCAAGGCCCAGTGTCACTCGTGGTCTGTCTGCCTCGTTCCTGGCACCTCCTCCAAACCCAGGTGTCCAAAAGGACCCAGCAAGGGAAGCGACGTCCTAGTTCGTGGTTTACATCTGGCACAGGGCCAGCAGAGATCCCTGTTTCTCAACTCTTTCCTAGAGCACCTCGCGTCCCTAATCGCGCCTTCAACTCTGAGAAGTGAAGAGCCCCGCAGGAAACTTGCATTCCTGCACCCGCTGCCGCACGTCCGGGGCAGCGGGCGGGCCGCCGAGACGCCTCACAGAACGCAGCCCCTTCACCGCCCGCCTCCCCGGCTGCACGCGCCCCCCGGGGGCCCCGCGGCACCTGCGGCCAGCAAGTACTCGTCCGCGCGCGCCCGCCGCTCTCGGCGCTTCCCTTGCCGCCTCAGCGAGGCTGGGGTCGCGGGGCTCCCCCTCGGTGGGTGGGAGGCTCACGGCGCCCGAAGGCCGCACTGCTGGCGGCCGCGGCGGCGCTGCTCCCCCTGCTCGGTGCAGCTGCCGCCCGGCGCGTGCGCACTGGGCCCGGGCGCGCGGCGGCTCGGGCTTTGTGTGTGTGTGTGTGTGTGTGTGTGTGTGTGTGCGCGTGTGTGTGTGTATGTGTGCGCGTGTGTGCGAGTGAGTGAGCGGGCGGGCGGCGCGAGTGTGGCCGCCGCGGAGCGCCAGCAGGACCCGGCGGGCGCGCTCCCCCAGCCTCTCTCTCCCCGTCAGAACCATGTCGGGCAGGTCGGTTCGAGCCGAGACCAGGAGCCGGGCCAAAGATGATATCAAGAGGGTCATGGCGGCTATCGAGAAAGTGCGCAAATGGTAAGCGGAGGCGCCCGCCCGCCCGCCTGGCTCCGTGGCCGCCCCGAACCCAGGGACCACGTACAAAAAGCCGGCGGCGCAGCGCCCCGGGTCGCCCGCCCGCTCGCCGCCGCCCAGGAGTTGGAGAGGGCGGGCGGCGCGCGAGCAGGGTCACCTGCGAGAGGCGGGGGCCTGGCCGCTGCCCAGGTGCGCTCGCGCCTGTCGCCCACCTGGCGCGGCGGCGGCGGCAGCCCGGAGGCGGCGGGGCACCCGGGCCGGGCGGCGGGGCGGCGGGCGGTCCTCGGCGCGGTGCTCGGCTCCCGGGAGGGGGGCTCGGGCCGGCCCCAGAAGCCATTTCGTTTTGTGCAAGTCACATGAAAGCGGCTTCCCGCGCGCCCGGGCCGCGATGCCGGCGGCGGAGGGGAGAGCGCCAGCTCCATTGTGCAGGCTCCGAGCGGGCCGCCGCTGCCGCCGCCGGCTCCCCGCGCGCCCCGGGCGGCGCAGCGCCGGCCTCCGCGCCCCAGTCCGCGCCGGGCCTCCGCTCGCTGCCCTCCCAGCCGGTCCGCCCGCTCTGCGCCTCCCAGGCCCGGCGCCCTCGAGTCCGCGGAGTTTGCAGAGCGCGAGCCGTTTAAATTTAGCGCTTTGGGCTGCCTGGAGCGAGGGCTCTGCGCGAGGAGAAAGATGAGGGCGAACGCGAGAAGGAAGCACCGCTGTTGTGGCCCGGAGCGTAGGGTCCACTCCCGGCCCGGCTCCAGGCGCGGGCAGGCGTGCATCTGGGGGCCAGGAACCGGTCCCGGACTGCCTGTGCATCCCCCTGCCAGCAGCCGCGCTTGTTTTGCGGAAAGGGCCGTTGTTTTTGTCCCCCGCCTGGGAGGAGCGGCAGGTTCGGTGCGGCCGCGCGTGTTCGCGAAGCTCCGCTTGGCATCTGCCCGGCGTGGCCTCGTGTAATTAATGCTCGAGCGTTTCCCGGCCTCGCGGGTCTCGCTGGCCATCGGCTCGAGGGCCAGGCCCGAGGCGGCAGCCGATCGCCGGGTTGGGGCAGACTTGTTGAAAACTCCCAGCTCCCCCGTTTCAACTTTATTATTTTTTTCCCACGGCTTCACCAGGGTCTGGAAGGGAGAGGAGCAGCCGCGATGTTCTGAGTGTCAGCGCAGCGGGCTCGCCCTGACCCTTTATTTAAAGCCTAACAGCCGGGCAGGCCCCTTGGCGGGTATGCTTATGTTTAGGGATGTCATTTCTTGAGTAACGCCTTGGTCTCTAAAAACCACTGGGGGCGAGCCTTCGGTCTAGCCTGTGTCACAAGTTAGCTGTCCTTTCTGAGTCAAACCCAAGAAAAAAGGCAAGAGGAAAATCAATAAAGTCCACGTGCTCCTGGGCCTCCTATGGAAAGGGCCCTCTGCAGATGGCCGGATGCCCAGCCAAGGGCTGGGTTTGGCTTCAATGGGACAAAGAATTTTCAGAACCGTGAGAAGGGGAGGCCTTCCAAAGTTGAGATCCAAGTCTGCGGGCTCTGTGAGCTCCCCTGGCGGGCAGGGCACCCAGTGCCCAACTGGAGCCATTTAAAAATGGCAGAAACAGCTGCAGGCCAAAACACAACGCAGGACAAGCCCGCAATGCCCTCCCCTGTGGGGATCCCGGAGGGAAGGCTGGAGTTGTCGCTTGCCTTAGAGCCTATTCAAAGAAAGAACTGGTGGTGTCTGTCACCGGCCTGGAGGTGAGAAGGGGAAGGGGGCTGGGGACAAGCTGCCTTTCTCTGTTCCAAGAGGCGTGGTGAGGCCTTCTGCTCCAGGTTCCCAGCCCAGCAGAGGCCCTTGCACCCTGACAGCTGCTCCTGTAGGGCCTGCCTGCCAGCTGCTCTGTAAGGAGGGCAGATGGAGCTATGGGGTTTTCCACCCCACATCCCTGAGCAGCCAGTGTGGAGGGAGCCAGGCCTCAGTTTGAGGGGAGGAGACCATGTCTACCTTACTCCTTGTGTTTTGGGAAACAACAGGTCCTGTCTTCTAAAATCCTCAGGCTTTGGGAGCTCATAACTGGGCTTCCAGTTCACTTCCTTGCTATGACCTTGGACAAACCATGCAACTTCTCTAACCATGGCAGCAAGGGGTCCTGTGCTGCTCTCTCCCCTCCTAGAACAAGGTCATGTCTCTAAAAGGACTTATCTCTGCACATGTGAAAGTCATTACATGTTGTCCTCATTTTGAGAGGGACTCTGTACAAACTTGTGTTTTGCTGAATTTTCTTCTTTTTTTTCTGCCTCTTCTAAGCAAAAATGGCTTCGCCTTAACTTTCTGGGTTTCCCCAGCCCAGAGAAGCTAAACTTCACTCCACTGAACCTTTAGAATGGGTCTTCAGTCAGTCCTGAAGTTTTGGGTTGTTTATTAACTGCGTGGCCACCAACCATGTATTTCGCCACTGTCTGGAACGTCGGGTTGCCAGATTTAGCAAATAAAATTACAAGACTCCAGGTTAAATTTGAATTTCAGATAAACATTTCAGAAATAATTTTCAAAAATACAGTTGACCCCTGAACAGCACAGGTTTGAACTGCACAGGCCCACTTATACATGGAACTTTTTCAATAAATATACTGGAAAATTTCTGGGAGATTTTCACCAACTTGAAAGAACATTTTCTTTTCTCCAACTTCCTTTATTGTAAGACTATAGTATATAAAAAATATACAAAAATGTGTTAATCAACTGTTTGTGTTATCAGTAAGGCTGCCAGTCAACAAAAGGCTGGCTATTCATAGTTTGGGGGAGTCAAAAGTCCTATACAGCGTATTTATTTATTTATTTTTTTCCTCTTTACTTTGGTATCATTAATTTCCTATACAGATTTTTGACTGTGCTGAGGGGTTGGCATCCCTAACTTTACATTGTTCAAGAGTTAACTGTACTTTTTTATTTGTATGTATGTATGTATGTATGCCCCATGCAATTTGAACATAACATACACTAAATATTTGTTGTTTACCTGAAATTTAAATTTAAATCAGCATCCTGTATTTTATCCAGAGGAGGACAGAGGTGTCTGGCATGTCATTCAGTCTGCAAGCCTAGGGTGGTATTTCTCCTCAACTCCAGTGACCCCATAAAAATCCACCCTTCTGCCAGCACTACACTCCCCTTGTCTTGGAAAAAGCAGGCAGCCAGCACCACCCTGTCCATAGCTGCCAGGTGTTTCTCCTCTCCTTTCTGTTCGATGTTCCAGCCAGGAGATGGCTAAAGGAAGAACAAAATGGTGGTCCCTTTTTGGCAAACTGGGGCAATGTTAAGAGGCCCAGTGTGGGTGAAGTCGGGGGAGTCATTGGGCAGAAGGCTAAGGCTTGAGCCAAGCAGTAAGGCTTGGGCCTGGGTCTGTGGGCATTTGATCTGAAGGGTCCCTCAGTGATTTGTGGGGACAGAGGTCTGTGCCCCTAGGATTTCCCATCTGAGAGAGGGGAGGTTTGACTGTACCTTTGGGGTTACCCTCCTGCCAGGGGCAGGTTAGGTCAGATGGGCCTAGGCCTAGTTAGGATGAGACCAGCCATAGGCCAGGCCTCCCAGGGCATCAAGGACTAGCCCCAGGAAGTGAATACAAAGTGAAGGATTTAGGGCTCTTCTTTGACGGGGTCAGCAGGGTCCCCTTGGACAGTGGGAGGCCCCAAGATGGCCTCCTTAGTCCCTGAACCTAGACCCAGGAGAACATGAGGATCTGGGGTGGATGCTCGTGGTTTGTACAGGAGCCTGTGCTGGCGAGGAGCATTTGGTCTCTGCTGCTACAGCTGGGACCCCATTTGTCCTTTCCATCCAGGAGCCCAAGTCTGATGGCAAGAAGGAAGGTGAAGCCTGGCTGGATGGCAGGGGCCAGGAGGGTGCAGCTGGGCCCAGCGCAGCTCCGCGGCAGGGTTTGGGCGCTGCCGGGGGTGGTGAGTCCGGGCCCCATGTCTCCAGGTGCTGAGAGCTGCAGGTCTGAGGGAGCCTCGGAGCCCCATGTGGAGAGAGCCCTCGTTCCCTGGGGCAGGCGGGCCCCTTACGGCCAGATCATGTTTTCCAGAGTAGTCAGGAACCTGGATATCCATGTGGATCTGACTTTTTTCTTACAGTTTGGTGATGATTCACATTTTTTTTAAGGTACCATGCAGGCCAGACAAAACACACTTGTTGGCTGCTTCTTTGCCACCCAGACGTGAGGTAGGAAGTACAACCAGCGCCCTCATCAGGGGTGGGGGGCAGTGTGCTCTGGGGTGCCAAGTTTGGGTGATAGTGGGAATTCAGCTGTTCCTTGAGTTCTGTGTCTTTTCTCAAGGTGCTGCCAAGCCACCTGCTTGATGGGGCACCCAGAGCCCACTGCACATGTCCATGAAACCCCTTCTGGTCCTTCCGCTGCTTGCTCAGTGGCTCCCACCTGAGTTCCGGGGCCCTGGCTCCCCTGAGTGGCTGCTGACGGAGCAGCAGTCCCAGGGTGGGTCCTTAAAGCTCTTCACTCTGTTCCGGAGCCCCTCAATGTCCTAGAAACACAACCCAAGAGAGGTTTCTAATCTCTGGGGTGAGCTGGGGACTCGGGCCAAGGGGTCACCATCTGGGGCAAAGTGAGACGCAAGAACCTGGCTGTTCAGCTCATAACCTGCAGGTCCTGTAACATCTGTGGGAAGCCCTTACAACTTCAAATGTTCATCTTGCCTCATGAAGCCCAGAAATGGCACACTTTGTGCCTTGAGAGGTGTCCTGTGTTTTGCAAGTCAGTTACTTTTTTTTTTTTTAGATACAGTCAAACCTTGGAATTGCTGACCTACTGGGGCCCAGTCCCAGGAAGCCAACTGAAGGCTTGAGTGATGGGTGTCTTTGGCCATGGGCCTGGAATTCTAGAAACTTGTACGTTTTGTACAGCTTCTGTCACTGAGGAGCTCTCTGGAATAATTTCTTAGTTTTTCGTGGACCATGGGATAGCACAGGCTGGGCTGTGGGGTCAGAGCCTGTGTCCAGTCCTGGTTCTGGTGCCCCATTTGGGGCCTAGGCCTCTGTGACTGTGAACTAGTAGTATAACCTCTATGGGCCTCCTGTTTCCCCACCTACAAAGTGGGAGTGACAGCAGTCCCCACTCACAGGCCTGGTGGCAGTCCTCGGGATAGTGAGCATTGTAAGTAATGCGCTTGGCACTAGGCATGATGTGAGCTCCCAGCACACAGTGGCCATACAATGGCCATTATGATCGCTGCTTTGTTACTGAGTTCCTTGGAATGCCCTGTGCCTTCCAGGCACCTTCTGACTATTCAGGATGGGAAGAGGGCAAGATTGGGATTGGGATTGTCCATCCTGACTCTGGGAGGTGGAAGACAGGTGGTGATGACTTAAATACCTGTCTTTACTTAACTCTTTCTTGTTTAAAAGGGGCAGGGATGGGGGCAAGTGAGGCTGCCCCAAAAAGAAGTGTGGCATGGAGGGTTTGAATGCTGGCTCCTTATGCCTCAGTTCCTTTATCTGTCAAACAGAGAAGGTGACAATTCTTACCTCACTAGGTTATGGAAAAATTAGAGCAAGTGTGTACAGTGCTTTGCACTCAGAAGGCACTAGAAACAGTCATAGAATAAACAAAAGACAGGCCCTGGCTTCTTCCATCAGGGAACCTGTGTGACCCAAGCAGGCACAGTTCTGGAGTAGAGATGACCATGGTTTTGATGAGCTGGTTTTGAGTGTGCGTAGGCACCCAGAACCCCTTGTGGTGAAAGCTGGGTGGCTAAAGTACGTCCCACTACCACCCACCCATGGAGGGGAGGACACAGGCTGAGGTCTGGGCAGGGAGGCTGGACAATGTGGCTGGCAGCTCACAACAGAAGTGCCCGTGTCACATGCAATTCTCAGTTCTCCCTTGTCACTAAAATTGCTGAGGTCTCCTGGCAACTAGGCCACCTCTACCAGGTGTGCATCTGGCCCCAGCATTCCATTGTGGGTCCTTTTGAGCCAGCTACTTTTCTCTTCGTGCAGTTGACAGACCCTTTGTGCCCTCCCACTTCTCTGGAGGTGGCAGAGCCAGTGCTTGGAACGATGACTTCAGAGCGCATGCCGCCTGGGATGGAAGGCCAGCTTCCCTTCTGAGCGTTCGCCTAAGCCTCGGTGTCCTCAGGTGCCTGGCCTCTGGCTGTCCCTCTCAGTGTTGGGGGCAGGAAGTGACCTGACCTGACCTGTGGACCACAGGGGGTCAAGAACCAAAGTTTGGAGACTGTCGCAATAATCTACAGAACAGCATTGGCTTGGGGCAGAGCAGGGAGAGAAGAGCGTGGTAATTATCCTCATTGAAAACCAGTCACCTCTTTTCCTTCTCATGATTTTTTGCTGGCCCATAAACCCACCCTAGCAGTTGGGGGGCCCAGGAGTTTAGGATGCGGCTGGGATGGGGGGCAGCTGTGCACATGTGGCATTAGCAGCAGAGCCCCTGAGATGAGTGTCTGTCTCAGAACCAAGGCATGGGGCCTCGGAGCATCCTGCCAGCTGCCTGCTGCCCATGGTCATAGACCCTCGGTGTCAGCGTCTGGGGGCCGCCCTTGGGACCTAGGCCACTGGGCAGCCAGGAGGCCACTGCTATCCGACCGCCTTGGCTTCTCTGACAGAAGCATGTAAGGTAGTTACTCACGCTGTCTGCTTCTCTCCCCTTCCCCAGACCTCAGAGGCATGGCTGGAGGGCAGCGTGAGCCCTGGGTGCCCTTGCTGAAGACCCCCACCCCACAGGAGGAAATGCCCCACTGGCCTGATGCCTTCTTTGCTGCCCAGAGGGGCTATGGTTCAGGTGCTGGCCACGTGGAGTTGGCAGTGATGTGGAGCAAAAGCTGGAGGAATGTGGGCCGATTCCCTTCATCCAGAGGGACAGCCCCCGTCCCTCATCTTACCAAGCACTTCTTCCAGACACAGAGGCTTTTAACACACATTCCTTGTGTAATCGTCACGGCAGCCTGAGAGATTGACAACCCTATGTGGTCTAACAGATGGGGAAGCTGAGGCTTAGTTAGGGAAGTGACTTGCCTGAGCTAGTGAGCAGCAGAGCTGGGATTCAAACCCTGTATGTGTGATTGGGGCTCAGTCTTGACCCCAAGCCACCACATCACAGGTGCTCTAGGGGAATAAGGCCTCTGCCCCCTGTAAGGGTGAGCAGGGTCTGCCCCAGACACCCCCTGGTAACGGGCTCTTCCCCATCCTCTGCAGGGAGAAGAAGTGGGTGACGGTAGGTGACACATCCCTGCGAATCTACAAGTGGGTCCCTGTGACGGAGCCAAAGGTTGATGACGTGAGTATGTGGGGTGGGGCCATCTGCCCAAGCTCCCTCCCACCAAGGGCCAAGGCCGCCTGGGAAGCAGAAGAACTCAGCTTAAGGCTGGAGAGGTTGCTGGACCTGTATCCTCCCCCCACTCCTGGTCCAGTCCAAGAGAGGTGGAAGGGTACCCCTGGAAGCATCTGTTCTGGGCTGAGAGCCCCGGTTTGCCAGTGGGGACATGCGTAGTGCAGAGGTGTCCCCTTCCTGGAGCCCTGGAGTGGGAGCAGGCGTGGTGGTACCCACAGATGGGCAGACACTGCCCATCACTGTAGCACCATGCCTGAGAGCACCTGACCTTCTGCCAGGTTTACCTCACTTATTTGTCACACCAAGTATATGTAGTTGATCTCTTTATTCTGTTTGCACAAAGTGAGGGCACAGGCTCAGGGTGGTGAAGCTCCTTTCCCAGAATCACGTAGCAAGTGTAGCAAGTGTCAGGTCCATCTACCTCCAGAGCACATGCTCTCCCTGCTGGTGCAGAGCCCACTGGGGGTTGGAGCCACCAGAGACCCTGAGTGAGAGTTTGGTGCAGGGAAATGTGAGCCTCCCATTGGGGGCTATGGGGTGGGGGAGGTAGGGGCGCGGTGGTGACTAGCCACAAGGGGGAGCTCCAGAGGCCGGGCTGGATTATAAAGGGGTTGAAGCTAGGCAGCTGCCCCTTGTGGCGTTTTCAGCTTGGTGGCTTCCATGCCAGTTACCCCCAAAGACCCCAGGTCAGCTACTCTCTTGTCTAACCAAACCCAGAACGGTTCCACCACAGGCCTTTGCACGGGCTGTTCCTCCTGCCTGGAGGGCCTTCCCTATCCATGCCGACTGTCTTCTCCTCCGGGAAGATGGCTTGCTCCAGCCACCCAGCTCCTGGGGGAGGCATGGGCATGGTTGGTAGTTTCTAGGGGGCCGTAAGGGTGGGGCTGAGCCTACTGTCTCCAGGTACTTGTCTTGGGCCTCCAGGCAGAGCTGAGGCTCCATTCTCCACCCTGTGGTCACGTGCTCACCCAGGGCTGGGGGCTGTTTGCACTGGGCTGAGAACATGGGCATTTGTCGTTCCTTCTGGGTCTGGCCTGGGCCTTTGGAGCCACCAGGACTGCCTTGCCCAGCAGCACTAAGACCTAAACCATTGCAGCATTTGGTGTCGGCCGTTTCAGAGGGAGAGCAGGGCGCGGCCCGGCTCCTCGAAGGCAGCTCCTGGCTCAGGCCCAAGTCTGTGCCTTGCACATCATTAGGTGTTGTATAAACGCTGGTTGCATCCGAGAAGACGTGGTCCCTGCTCTCAAAGAATTTATAATCTCGTTGGGGGAAGATAATTATAGAATAGCATGAAACAGACATCAGGGAAGTGCCAAATGGGTTGTGATCAAGGAGAAAATGTAATATATGGGCTGTCAGGGAGGACAGAGCAGCTCCAGGCTGGGCAAGAGCATGAGATTTGGAGTCTGAGAGGCCACCCCCAATTAACCTGTGATGTTGGACAGGTAGCCCCACCTTGCTGGCCCTTCCCTCTTGTGCTGAGGAACAGTAGCACCCAGTTTCTGGGGTTTCTGCAGCAGAGTAAAGGCAATATATCAAATGGAGAAAACTTAGCCCAGTGCAGCTATGCAGATGGTGCTCAACAAATGCTAATTTGCTGTCAGTTCTCTGAGCCCTGAAACACAATAGGCCATTTCCCTCACCCACTTTCCTCTAGGGTGATGGGTCCCAGCCTGGCTGAGCAGCCCATCTTCGGGGAATCTTGAAGAAATGCAGGTCCCTCTGCTCCACCCCAGACAGCTGAATTCAAATCTCATGGTTATGGCCAGGAATCTACATTTTAGAGGGATAGCTTTTTATTTTTTTAAACACCCAATTAAAACATGGCTGCAGCATTTTTTTTCCTTGAAAATTTTTTGCTCTTGAAAATAGTATTGTTTTCAATAGGTAAAATGTTACAGAATTCAAACATTACTTTAAAAATGTTTTTAAATTCACATGCCATAAAATTCACTCTTTTAAAGTGTACAAGTCACTGTTTGTTATCTTCATAGTTGTGTAACCATCACCACTGTAATCCCAAAATATTTTCATTACTCCAAAAAGAACACTCATACCCATTAGCAATCATTACCCCAAGATCTTGGCAATCACCAATCTACTTTCTGTCTCTATAGGTTTGCATATTCTTCAAATGGTACTTTTATTTTTCTGTGTATCTTTTTATAAATCTGCTTCCCATCCCTGCATGTCTGCCACACCCCACCCAGCTCTTTTCCTGGGAGGCAACCAGCGTTTGTTGATCATTCCAGAGAGAGTGTGTGCACACAAACACACACGCAGTGAATGTTCCTTATCCTTTTCCTTAGTGTGGACGGTGGCTTTATGTTCCCATGTTCTGCATCTTTCTCTTACTCATCTTGGAGATATTGAAATATTTTAATATGTTGGTATTTTTGTAGATCATTCCACATTAGTACTTGAAGAACTGTACTTCTGTAACCCACACAGAGCCTAGTCTCTGTAACTGTGGCACTGCATCACACTGAACGAACCTACTATGATTTATTTAATGAGTCTCTTATTGATGGACGCAGGTTGTTTCCAACATGATTCTATTCCATTTGTAAAAAATGGGACTGCACACAAAAAGCATTCCCTTTGTGCCCCTCCTCCTTGGGATTTCCCTCCTCACCTGGTCTTCCAGGACGGTGCTGGACGTCAGCTACTTTGAGAAGGGCAGACCAGGGACCCACGGAGAGTGGGAATGTAAGAACTCTGCCTTTTCCATCCATCACCTAGCGTTGCCGTACCTGCTCTGGGCAGGCCCAGACGATTGCCTTCTCCCCAGATATCTTCCCCAAAGGTGAAGGAAATTCCCACCTGCCTGGGTGTTTGCATGCCTACTGGTGCTGGCCCCGCAAACAAGGCAGGGTGGTTCCCAGCCCTGCCCCAGAATCCTCCCTTCTGCAGGGCTCTTAGATTCTGAAGCCAGATCAGTCCCCTAGTAGGACATTTTCAAATGCAGGCCAAGGAGAGCCCTCAGGGACTTGGGACTCCAGGATGCAGGAGCAGAGTGAAACATTCATACTGTGTCCAGGGTTCTGCTCATGCATCGGCGCGCTCTCAATATGGTGACTCGGTTTCTGCCATGTTTTTTCTCCTCCAGAAAAGCAAGAACAAGAAGAAGGGGAAAGATGAGAAGTGTGGTTCTGAAGTGACCACTCCAGAGAACAGCTCATCCCCAGGGATGATGGACATGCACGGTGAGCTCCCCGTGGCCCTGGTGGCCTCCCCTGCCCGTCCCTGGGCTGGGGCAGAGCTCTCAGTTGTGTTTTTGTTTTACCAGCAGGTTTGTTCACATTCCAGACAGGGGGTAGGAGGGCTGGGCACAACCAGGAGGCCTCTGTGCCAAGGAGAAGGATCAGTGGAGAAGAAGAAACTTCTTTGCCCAGCACAGCAAGCCAAGAAACATAACATAAGCCAGAGATGTAAAATAAGACCTTCTCCCCCAGTGACCATGATCTCCCAGATGTTCTGTCAGCCCTGTGTGCCCAGGAACTTTGTTTTGGATAGATGTATACCATTTTCCCTCCTAGGCCTGACATAACATATGGAAGACTGTACTTGCATTTCCTATTTTGCTTCAGCCACTGGGAAGCTCCAAACTGGATTCTGACATCCCATTAATCACTCTGGAACCCTGGGACCAGCCTTCCCCATTGATAGCCCAACTCCCTGCGCTGCCTTATTTCAAAAGTTGTAACGAGTGTCCCACTATTTGAATCCAGGCTGGAGACCTGCTTTAGCCAGCCTGCTGTTATTTTGATATTGCTGGTATTTATTTCTCGTACCGTTTTATCTGAGAAGAACGGCACACATCCTAAGTGTATGGCTCCATTAAATGTTCACAAGCTGCCCACGCCCATATAATCAGCCCAGATCAAGTTATTCCTGGCAATACCCCTGGAATCTACCCTTCCAAGGAAAGCCACCCCCTGGCTTCTGACCTTAGAGATTCAAACATGGAGCTTCTTAGAAACTGAGCTCCTGGTATTTATAAATTAGGAAATTTGCATTTCTGTCATCCTTTGAAAACAACAGATCTGGGAACTCTGGCCACATGCTCCCTGGAGGCAGCCAGCAGCCTACTGAGGCAGGACCAGCTGTCTCTGCAAGAGGGTGTGGCATCTCCAAGCCCACCTGGCTTGCCTGCCTGATGGGAGTTTTGTCACCTGCCTGGCCTGCTAATATAAGAACATGCAACCCTTGCTTTTCTCCATTTCTTGATCCCAATTCAATCTTTGTATTTTTGGCCACCCCAGTTCTTTTGTTCAACAAGACGGTTGAACACTTCATGCATTATTAAACCCACTTCATGCATTATTTCATTTAATCCTAATATTTAATGTACAGATGAGGATCCTAAAGCTTGGAAGGGCAAGTAACTTGCCCAGCGTTAAGAAGTTTGTGACTGTCAGTGCAAGCACTGGAGATCCCTTAGAGGCAGAATGCAAGTCTGTGGCCACAAGCCCAGACTAACACTCCTGAAAAATCTAGAATGCTGAACAGACCAGGTCCCCAGTGCAGGAGCCTTGGTCACCTTCTTGGTGTCATTTCCATTTTAGTACATGTGCACCCAAGATTAAGTCTGACCATGGGGCATGTAAGTAGGAAAGCTCAGGGAGTGATGTGGGCCTGGCTGAAGTCTTCCAGAAAGTTTCAGGTGGGTGGATTGGCCATGGGGGAGATGAAGGGAGGGGCTGCCTGCAGCCTTCTCTTTAGTCTTAGCCCAGGTATTAAGGTCGCACTATTACCGGTGACCAGTTTAAGCCCAGGTAGCTAACTTGCTAAACATTAGCACTTACTGTCCTTAATTAACATAACCTCATGCTGGGACCCCTGGTCCAGCCTCTGCCTTCCATGCTTATTACACGCACACATACTTGTATTGGCATGGGAAGGAAGTTGAGGTTTTTTCAAAAGGTGAGTCAGGAAAGTACATATTGCTTTTTAAGTCTCAGAATTCACAAGAGGATGCTCTTGTGTTATGAGTACCCCAGAGTACACTTAAAATAAGGTGCAGTTTACCCAGTGGGCATCACTTCCTGGTGCTTTCCTGGCAGGTTGAGGGTGCAGAAAGACGGGGTTCAGAGTTGGGCAGGCTAGCCTGAGCAAGGGGCTCTGCCATTCTGAGCCACCATGTCCCCCTCTGCACCTACCTGGTAGGTTTTTAGGCAGATTAAACAAGGTGACTGTAAATGCTTTGGCCTGGTGCCCAGCATGTAGTTGGTGCCTGGGACATGTTGACGTAACTCTTCTCTCTTTCTTTCTCTCATTTTTACAAAAATGGCTTTGGTCCCAGGTGCACAGCATGGCCCAGAAAAGCAGCATATGATTTGCAGTATTTTTTAAATCACTGCTTGGGTATCTGTAGTTTAACATGACTGTGCGCAAGAAAGGGGGTCCAGGGCAAAGGGATACATGCCCTGGGACCCCCGCTCTGCTTCCAGCTCAGTTACTAATGCCATTGCCCAATTAACTTTCTTTTTTTTCTTTGTATTATGAAAAATTTTGTAGTAGAGAGAATAGTGTGATGAATCCTGCATACCTACCACCTAGGTTTTCACTAACATTATGCCATGTTTGCCTCATTTGTTTTTTTTCAAATGTCTTAAGTTTTTTAATTGAAATACAATTTACACATAAAAATGCACAGCTCTTGAGTGTCAGGTTCAAGGAATTCTGACAGCAGAATGCAGCCTGTGATAAAGCATTTGAAAATACATTTCCCTGCATCGTATTTAAATCTGTGCCTAAACACTTCAACACATGTTGCTAATAAACAACATTTCTGTATGCCCACTGTACCATTTTTCACTCCTAGCAAAATTAACAATTCCTTATTATCTTTTAAACTCCATATATGCTCATATTCCCCAGTTATCCCAAAATGTCTGATAGCTGAAAGGTTCAGAACAGGATCCAGGAAATTTTCATATGTCATATTCAGTTGTTAGGGCTCTTAAATTTCTTTAAATCTACAATAATCTTCCCTGCTTCTCCTTTTTTTAATGGCATTGCTTGTTGAAGACCCTGGGCCAATTGTTCCGGGAAATATCCCATTTTCCATTAACTTGTTCCTCTCTTCATTTTATTTTTTATCAAGTGGAAGTTGGTCCAGAGGCTTGATTAGATCAAACGAAACATTTTGGCAGTGCTGTCTCTTGGGCCATGTCAGGTACACAAGATGTCTGGCTTCTTCACCCAGAATGAGGCCTCAAATGTCCCCAAAGATTTAAAAGGTGGTAGGCCACTCTCTGTAGCTAGCTGCCTGCAAACACAGGATTCTCCTCAGTGAGCCCACGGGCAAAGGTCAGGCCAGCTCCCGGCGCCTTTTGCCTCACAGGACATGTGACCTGGCTGTGGGGGGTCATCTTGGAGGTCTTCGGGAGAAAGTGTCTCCTGTCCTTGGCGAGCAACCTGTGGGGCTGCTGGCATGAGGCATGGGGGCCTGAGGCGTGGGGAGGCTGAGCCCCTGTGCCTTTCCTTAGCAGCTGCGGGACTTCACCCCCTGCTTCTCTTCCCCCCTGCAGATGATAACAGCAACCAGAGCTCCATCGCAGACGCCTCCCCAATCAAACAGGAGAACAGCAGTAACTCGAGCCCGGCTCCGGAGCCCAGCTCAGCAGGGCCCGGAGATGGCCCGGACAACAAGGCTGATGAGGCCCAGGCCGATGGGAGGGAGCTCCCTGGGGCAGAAGGTACACGTCGGGGCCTGGGCTCTGTGCCTGGGCTGGAGGGGCCTTCCCCAGCCAGCCTTCAAGCAGTCTGTTGCCAGGTCTTTAGGGAGGTCTGCCATGTGCCGAGACTTTAGGAGAAAGGGAATGCCTGGAGCTCACATTTTTGTGGGGCAATTTAAAAATCCTGCAGTCTAGTGTTTGGAAAATAAGTGCTGTCACAAACTATAAAGGAAGAGAGGGGAAGGGGGACTCCTGCCGAATTCCAGGGAGTATTGCAATTTAAATAGGAAGTCAGGGAAGGCCTCCCGGAGAAGGTGACATTAGAGCATATGAGGCTCAAATTAGGCAAGGAAGCAAGCCCTGTGGGTAAATGGGAGAGAGTACTGTAGACAGAGGCAATGCAAAGGCCCTGAGGCAGGAGCACATGGGGAGTGGCTCAGTGAGGTGAGGTCAGAGGGGCCGGGCTTGTAGGCCACTTCACCCACCCACCCCCGTGACTGAGGGTCATGATCTGAAGGATCACTTCAGCTGCTGAGATGGAGAACAGATGGTAGGGGCCTGGGATGGTGGCACGGAGGCCAGTGAGAGGCTTCTGCAGTCATCCCAGAGGGGGAGGCTGGTGGGGGCCGGCAGGAACAGAGGAGTGGGGAGGTAGCTGTCTGACTGCAGAGGACGTATGTATATGTGTATATATTTGCTTATTTAAAAATTTTTGAAATTTCTGGACTCTTTAAATGAAAATTTTCAAATTCCCAGAGAAATTCAAAAAATAGTTCACTCTCCTGTATATATTAACCAAATTTGGTGATTTTTTTGGGGGGCCTTTGACAGTAAGTTATAGACCTTATGACATTGCATCCCTGTACCCTGCTGTCTTACATAGTCACAGTACTGTTCTTATGCCAGGGAAATTGGACAGTGGTTCCCAATTGCCTAATACCGAGGTCTATTTTGAAGGTATGAGGTGAGAATATGTGTTGACAGGTGGTGCCTGTGCTGGGCAGGGCCTCAAAGGTGACTCCTAGCACCTGGAGGGACAGCCTGGCCCATCTGTGAAGGGAGGTGTGGGGGGAGGAGCAGGGCAGGGGAGGGGATGGTGCCTTAGGTGCCCAAGCCCCAGTGCAGAATCCACAGTTGGGAAGAGGCCTGGGCTGCCCGGGCTGCTTGGGCTGATATGCTACTCAGCTTGGTGCATGGGGAGGGGGAAGGTCTCCTATGGAGAAAGATGCTCCTGTGCTGTGGAGCAGATCCAAGACCCATGCCATGCCCTTTGACACACTTGACCCACATCCACCCTATGTGGGACTCTGTGCCAGTCCTGGGCCACAGCTGAGTCATGCTTCCCGCCCCTCAAGAACTCAAGGGCAAGCAGGGGAGACAGACGTCAGAACTGAGAATTACACTCTGCAGAGGTTGCAGACACACCAGATCCAGCCTGTGGTGTGTGGGTGTGGCCACGGAGCCCAGTGGTATTTTTATTTTTAATTTGAATTTGATGTCAAAACTTAAAACTTGAAGAACTTCACTTAAAGTAAGGTTGATTTCTGCCTTCTCTTGACAAATCAGACCTGGCAGTACTGGGCCTACTTTTCCATGGAGCAGCAACCAGCTAGAGCAGAAATGCAGCTGCAGCTCCCCACGGGGGTGAGAGCAACTGCTTTACCAGTTACCACACTCCCCAGTACTCCCTACTGTCTCCTCACAAGCAGTTATCCTGTATTACTCCTGGATCACTGTTGTTTTCTTATATCCTTAAAAAGAAAGTTAAACTTTTTTAAACCTATTTCTATATCAAAAGTAGAAAAACAAAAGTCTGAGGCTCCTTTGAGGAAGAGAAAAATATTCCATGAGACTTTTTTTTATCTTTGTCTGAACTAAACAGCTCACTTGACTCATTCTTGGTGCTGCCTGGCCCCTGAGGGAGCTTTGAGTTTGTGGTTGGAGCTGTGATAGAATAAGGAAAGAGAGCCTTTGGGGCCTCGGTGAAGCCCCCTGAAGGAGATGCTGTCTGACTTGGGCTTGAAGGCTGAGCAGGGGGAGGAGGGGAGTGAGCAGTCCAGCAGAAGGGACCAAGGGGTAATGCTTGGGGACTTGAGGGGAAGGGGCGAGCCAGCCAGGTGTGAGGGGCTCAGGTGCTCCGTGGTGCCCCTTTCTGCACTGGGCAAAGAAGGTATTGATGTCCAGGTTGTCCTCTGGGCAGGGGAGTGGTGGGAGGCAGGCAGTCCTGGATGCAGGGAGCAGTAAGACTTCAGGACACAGACTGCAGAGACCCTGCCCAGGCTGCAGGAAGGATTGCGGGTGGGTTGTTTTGTGGCCTTCCAGAAATGGGCTGTGCACCTAACATAGCTGTACGCAATTGTAACCTGCTTTCTTACAAAGCTTTCGCTTAACAGTCACCATGGAGACTGTTCCATGTTCAGGCATAAGGTTCATTTTATTCTCTTTACCAGCTTCTTGTTGTTCAGTGTCCCCACGCTGTTGGTTGCATGCGTTGTTTCTGTCGCTTGGTGGGCCTGCCCTCTGCTCGGGTGTGGGCGGGTGGGTAGGATGCAGCCCTGAAGTAACCCCCACCCACCACCCTGAGTTGTGACGCCAAAAATGTTTCCAGAAATGTCAAACATTTGTGCCTCCCTGGGCAGAGGGGGACAAAATCACCCACGGTTGAGAACCGCTGTCCTGAACTTTGGCGTGGCCTTCCACCATGTGCAGCATGTGGGTGTTCCCTCTTGTCATGGCATAGCAGCCCCCTGTGCCTCCCTGGTAAGATGGCTCTGCAGATAGAGGACAGTGGAGCCACAGGGCTGGGACTGGGGACAGGACAAGCTGGTCACATCTGGGCGACACGTGCTAGCCGTGTGGCCTTGGCCTGGCAGCGTCGCCTCCTGCAAGCCTTCCTGTTTCCTTGTTTATAAAATGAGACAAATAAGAGTTGCCTCCCTTGTCAGGTCGCTGCAAGAAGCAAATGACACAGGAAAGGAAGTGAAGTGCTTGGCCTGGGCCTTGTGTGCAGGAAGGGCCTGGTGAGCGAGTGAGGGAGCCGCCTTCTCTGCTCTTCCATGGGGGGCTGGGGGTGGCAGGCAGGGCCCTGCGGGACCAGGTGTGCACTGCATCCTGGCTTCTCCCCACCCCCTGCGCTCTTCCAGGCCACAGCAGCATTTCCCCCAGGTTTGGCGTCTGTGTTTCCTTTGCCTCAAGGGCCACTTACAGCTCAGCTGCCAGAATTAACATCTTGGGTTAATGCTTCCAGAATTGCCACGTTTTAGCAGCTACCAACCCCGCCCACCATCATCACCAAAAGCTTTACTGGTCTTCGCTGAGTGGAAGAAGCCAGTCACTAAAGGTCACACATTGTGTGATTCTACTGATAAGACATGTCCATAAGGACAGAAAGCGGACTGGTGGCTGCCTGGGGCTGGGGGTGGGGCAGTGACTGCTCACAGGTCCAGGGTTTCCTTAGGGGTGACAGAGATGTCTTGAAACTAGGTAGAGGTGGTTGCGCAATACTGTGAATGTGCTAAATGCCACTGAATCGCTCACTTTAAAATAGTTACTTTTATGTTACATGAAGCATAACTCTCCTGGCCACTGCAGGCCACTGGGCCTGCACGGCTGCCCAGCATTGCTCAGGCGGGCCTGCCACAGGTGGGTGCACACTGCCTGCCGGACCGTACCGGGGCGGGTTGGTCGCCAGCTGTTAACCTTGCTTTGAACTTGTTTACTGCTGAGTGAGTTCAGGGGATGACATAATGGCCAAACTCCCTGGGCTAAATTTAGGCCCTTGGAAAATAATTTCTTCTGGGTGAGTTCCAGTACCACTGGGCTAGGAGAATCAGGCTGCTGCCCTGGGGCCAGTTCCCACTGAGCTCTCAGGCTGCACAAGGGGTTAGCACGACTCTGGGTGACTGGCCGTTTTTGTGATTTCTGTACCTCCATCTGGGGCCCCCACCCGCCTCCACTGGGCTGGAGAGGAAGGGGGCAGCAACAGTTGAAAATATTTGTTAAAGTAAATGGAATATAGCATTAACATGGATTTTTTTTAAGGATGTGATTCATGTAACATAAAGAGTAACTATTTTATGTTTTGGTGCCCTTGTCTAGCTTGGATTAATACTTAGTCTATAGGCACAGACCTGATCATCTACATTTGCCCTCTTACAGCACTAAATTATGTTTTCTACCTTTATCTTGCATCTACCTACCACTGCAGCATTTTATTTAAAAAAAAAAAATGGGAGAAATGTGGGATTCACATATAAATCAAGTATAAAAATCAAATGGATAATCATATCTGACTTGATTGTTTATAGTTCATGATGTGTGATCAAAACCAAAAGTTTCTGTGATGACTGCCCTTGCACTGTTCACCATGTAAGAACTTATTCACTATGTAAGAACTTGTTCACCATGTAAGAACTTATTCACTATGTAAGAACTTGTTCACCATGCAAGAACTTGTTCGTTATGCTTCAGAAGATTGGAGACTGTTGAGAATTAAGCTTGGGGTTGATGAATGATTGTGCATTGAGTCCCCTATACAGAATTTTATTGTCGTTAACAACCATTTGATCAATAAATATGAGAGATGCCCTCTCAAAAAAAAAAAAGAGTAACTATTTTAAAGTGAACAGTTGAATGGAATTTAGCACATTCACAGTGTTGAACCACCTTTATCTAGTTCCAAGACATTTCTGTCACCCCAAGGAAACCCTGTACCCATTAACTGCTACTCCCCCTTCTCCCCGAGTGGCTGGCAGCCACCAGTCTGCTTTTTGTCTCTATGGCTTTGCCTGTTCTGGACATTTCAGATCAGTAGAATCACACAGTATATGACCATTTGTGACTGGCTTCTTTGGCCCAGGATCATGTTTTCAAGGTGCATCTGTGTTGTGGTGTGCATCCGTGTGCCAGTGCTTCATTCCTTTTTATGACTGAGTCATATTCCATTATGTGGATAGACCACATTTTGTTTATCCCTTCCTCTGCTAATTTGCATTGGGGCTGTTTCCACCTTGGCTGTGGTGAACAGTGCTGTGTGAACATTCGTGTACAAGTATTAGTTTGAGGATCCATTCTTAGTTCTTTTGAGTCTCTACTGAGGAGTGGAATTGCTGGGTTGTATGGTAATTCTGCTAAACTTTTTGAGGAACTTGAATTCACATGGATCTTAAAGGCAAAACTAGAAGTATCAAAGAGATGTCAGGTTCTCAGGGGTTGGTTCAGTGCCCTGGAAACCCCTCAGTCACTGCCACCCGGGGTGGTTTTACTGCTGGGGTGCTTTGCCTCTCCCGACAGGGTGACTGTGGTTGTTTTTTACGGGTCCCTTGGGAATCATGTGACAGTGAGAGTATGGAACCCAGGTCTGCCTCTAAATCTTGTGTCCCACAGACACCAACTTGTAGGCAGAGCCCAGGCTGGCCCGGGTGGACCCCTGACTCTCCCCGTGGCAGCAGGAAAACCCAGCTCAGAGCCTGCTGGGTGTCGGGTCTCCTGGCACCGTGGTGAGAGACCTGGCTGCTGGTTTGGGGAGCATGTGTTAAGAGCTGTTCAGTTGGGATGGGTGGCTGGGAGGGTAGCCCCCTTGGGAGTTGGGGCTCGCAGCTCCTTCCTGCCCTGCCCTCTGCTCCTCTCTTTCCTCAGGCACTGGAGTGCCACTTGACTTTTCTTCATTTCTCTATGTTGCTTGCTTGCTTTAAAACATAAGCCTGGATTCCCCCTCTGCCCACCCCCTTGTTGGTGCTCTGCCTCGTAAACCCCAGGAAGGAAGGCACTCTTGAGTGTTTCAGTGCTCCTTTTAAAAATCAGGGTGGCATATGTTAGGGCCCTTGCATGCCAGCCTGCAGGGCCCTGGGTGGGAGGCTGCTTCTCCCAGAGCTCTCCAGCTCTGCGCAAAATAAGCTTCAAGGGCAACCACTGCTACCTCATCTTCCAAAGCTGCATCACCTCACACAGCTGTGCCTTCCTCCCGCCAACGGAACCAGGCAGGGGTGGGGCAGGGGGACCACTATGTAAGAAACAGTGCAAATAACTGGCAAAACAGTCTTCATTACATAAATGATTGCTTGATAGAATCTGTGCAGCTGTCTTGTATACTCTTGCATTTAGAAAAATTTTTAAGACACGAAAATTTCTTCCAAAATACTATGTACTCCTATTTTGAGGACAGTGAAGAATACCATGCATGTACTGGGGGAAAACATCTGGAAAGATGGGAATAAATCCTCTAAAATGTTAGTGGTGTGGTAGCTGTAGGCGTGAGATAATTGTTATTTTTAACTTTTGCGTTAATTTGCAATGATCATCATTGCTGTGGCAATGAGAAAAATACCCATTTTATTAAGAGAAACGTTTACACAGGGGCAGTTACCACTGGGTTCCGAGTGGAGGATGCAGGCTCTGTATGGAAGGGGGAGGAGTCAACAGCCATGATGACTGGAGCGCGTTGTGTCCACCAGAGGGCGCAAGGCGCACGCCGCGCGAAGCCTGTAGCATCCTTTAGATGCTCTGGGACCTGGGCAGGTAATGGGTGTGCAGAGAGAGGTTGGAGGCCCCAGGGTCGACGTGTGGCCTGGTCGCTTAAAACGACATCACTAAAGAATAAGCAAGAGGCTTCCCAGGCTCCCAGCTCATTGCAGCCCTGACAGACCGCCCGGCTACAAAACTAGCGAGTTCTAGGTATTTTTAGTAATTGGTCCATCTGGTTCCACATTTCCCATGTCTGAAAACAGCTTCTGTCATTTTGCTTTTCCCATAGATGCTTCTGATGAGCAGAATTCACAGTCTTCAGTGGAAAACTCGATGAACAGTTCAGAGAAAGTCGAGCGGCAGCCATCTGGAGACGCAGGTCTAGCTGCAGAGACGTCCACAATTTCTCAGGTAGCTCGATCGAGGCCTCAGAGGGGCAGCCAGATCAGCGGGGAGCCTGTTGGGGTGTTGGGGGTATGTTGAAAGGCATCTCGTTGGAGGATTGGAACATCCTGTATTCACTGAGCAGGATTCATGACCGTCCTTCTGTGTCCCACCCCGGGCGCTGCCCTACAGTGAGGGGCCTGGCCTTCGGGGAGGGCGTAGAAAGAGGAAAGGTCCTTTATGCCAGCCTCAGCTTTGTTACTTTGTTTATTCAGGTCCACAAAAGCACTGCCCACTTTCAGTGACCCAAAGTCAACTTCCTTTAGAGCTGGGAAGAGAAGTCTTTAGAATCCTAAATGCCTGGATGGGTCATTCTGTGGGATTTTGCAGTTGACTATGCTCCCCCTGCTCAGACCCCTTCTGGGTCATCACTGTCAGCATCTGGTCTGAATCAGTGCAGAAGCAGGTGGCCCAGTGTGTAGGCGCAACATCCGGGTTCAGATCCTGGCTCCACCTCACACTGAGCCTTGCGTCTTCAGCTGCCCAAATGGGATCCCAGAACTGCCCTGGAGCCTGGGTGGGGTGCATTGAGAGAATGTGGGTACCACATGTGGAGCTGGGCACAGAGAGGCCTTGGTGTTGCCACCATTATGGCTTTTCGCTGATGGCTTTCTGTGCTCATGTAAGAGGAATGGAGACAAAGAGGTCAAAATTTCAATTAGTAAAACTATTTTCACTTTGCTGCATATTTTCCAGTATTTTCTGGTACCTCAGGAGAAACTGACAAGTAACAGCAGAAAGAAAGGGAAGGGCAGGACTTGGCCTGCACTTTGTGGAGGCTTGAACCAGGCCTTTCCCTACTGGAAGTGCCTCTCAGACTTTAACTTCTATGTACCCTGGGATCTGCAACTCCCCCCCCCCGACAGAATACACCTCCAGACGCCCGCAGACATAGTGCTAGTGGCAGGAAGTTGGCCACAACCTAAATTTGTTGAAAAGGTGCTATTTCAAAAAATCTGGGGGTCATGGATAAGACAGACTGGTATGCAGCTGTTAAAAAGTGTAGTTGACCCAGGTACAGAGAGAGAATAGAGAAATACTCTCATCATGTGAAATGAGAAAAAGCAAGGCACAAAACCTCAGGAGTAGCATGAGCCCATTAACAAAAAAAAAAAATCAGCATTTTTTATTTGAAAAATAAAAATGAAAGCCTCATGTATGGTTTGTAAAACCAAGACTGTCTGGAGTCTCTTGGCCTCTTAAACTCAGTGCAAGAAAAGTCAGCTTGAAACTTTGCTCCGCACCCTGGGGCATCAGGTGCCTCCCATGTCTGAGAAGCTCACGGGTCTTCCCTTCTGACTTGCCCCACCTCCTCTAGGGTGCCCAGACCTGAAACTGGGCCTCCTCCACCATTTCTGTGCACTCATGGATAGTCATGCTTGGTTACACAGCCGCTGGCTTTGTGGGCCAGATGGAGGCTTCACTGCAGTAAAGAAAGCAACTTGACATTGAGGTTGGACATTCCTGTTTAAAAAAGAAGAAATACATCCCCATTCTGGCCCCTCCTCCTCCCCAGTATCAGGAGGGCTTCTTGCCCAGCACCCTGAGCCACTGTCTCCTCCCCTTCATTCCCAGCTCCCTGTCTCTCCCGCGCCCCCTGCGAGCTCACACTGTCTGCCACCAAGTGCCTAGCAGAACCAAAGGGCCTTCTGAACAGGCTCCACACCCTCCGAAGACACTGTAGTCCACTTTCTCTTTCTCCCTTAATGTCTGAGTTGAGCTTTTATTATGTTCATGAGAAAAAGGGAGAGGAAAGTCAGAGGCAGCTCTTCCTACCTCTCCATGATACCTGCTCTCAGGGTCTGTCCCACGAGACCCATACATGTTTTGTCATGACCCGGGGGTCTTGGTTAACATTCCCTGGGCCCTGCCAGATACTAGGGACCCAGGAGGAGCAGCCAATGAGGTCCCTCCCTGCCCTCTTGGGGCTCTTGATGCCCGGACACAGCAGCACCCATGGGCGGGTCACAGTCATAGAACACACCTGGGGAGGATCGGGACAGGATGACACGAGGAAGCCTGAGCGTTCTGATGGCCTAGGCAGAGAGGGCTGGGCTCTTGGCAGGAATGGGAGGATGAGAAGTCAGGACTGGGAGGGCAGGCCGTCTAGGAGAGGGAACTGCAGGTGCCCAGGCCTGGACACAAGGCAAGCCTGTGGGACCAAAGAGGAGGCAGGGTGGCTAGGGGCTCGCAGACAAGGACGAGAGGGTGAGACCAGGAAGAGGCAGGCCCAGGCTGGCGCTAGGGCCTTCTTGGCCTGGTGAGGAGTTGGGATTTTGTTCTGAAGTCAGTGGGAATACACTGGTAGGTTTTACACTCAGGGTATGATTTCTCTTTTTGAGATGATCACTTGGGCTATATGGGAGGCTGGGTAGGGAAGCCATGGGCAGGCTGCTGCTTAAGGAGATGGTGGTGGCCCAGGTGCGGCAGGCCGTGGGCAGAGGGGAGAGGTGGGCGGGCTCCACTTGGAGCTGGAGTTAGTGAGATGTGCTGATAGGTTGGGTGGCAGAATGGGAGGGAAAGGGCGGACTCCAGGAAACCATTCAGCTTATTCCCATCCATAGATACCGTGGGAGCAGCAGGTAGGCTGGATAAAGTCAAGAACTAGCCTTGGGTCCTCGCTCAGTTTGGCGATGCCTGAGGTGGCTGAACAGGAAGGTCAGGGAAGGCGTGGGTGAGCAAGTATTGAGTCATGGGACTCCTTGGGGAGTTAGTGACAACTACGGACCCTTTTCCCAGAATAACGTCAGTTATGGGTGTCTGCCCAGGCCAGGCCCTGTGCTGAGCCCTGGAGGACTCACTGGCAACACGGTGAGTTTGGTCCAGGCCTTCGAGCTTGGAGAGGTGCACCTGAAACTTGTGCATGAATCACCACCCTGGCAATTAATTTCCATCAGAAGGCTGATCCTGGGGAGACCAGCCCCAGGCCACGTGTGATGAAGGGGAGGGAGGACTTCAAGGCACCAGGGACAGTGTGGTGACAGTAGCGGGGTGGCGGTGTGCTCAGGAGACCTGGAGGGAATCCAGCAGGGCAGAAACAGGCTTGTGGATGCAGGAGCAGATGGGGTTTGAGATTCCTTGCAGGCCTGTGAATTCCCTGGAGGCCACACGGGGGCCACAGGGTCAGAACTGAAGTTTGGGATGGCAGATGCCTACCCCCACCCCTCCTTCTGGCTGACCTTCCACCTCACGGCTGGCCTAAACCACTCCTCTGGCACATTAACCTGTGTCTCTCTTGTCTTCCTCTTCCCCAAGGACTTGGAAGGTGTGCCACCCTCTAAAAAGATGAAATTGGAGGCTTCCCAACAAAACTCTGAAGAGATGTAGACACTAAGTTCAGTCCTGCGATCCACGTTTCTCGGGAGACACATTGGCAGGCTTAATCCCAGAACAGTTTCACCTGAGCCATCTCTCTCAGGTGCAAACAGAACTACTAACTTCTCAAGTTTACCAAGTGCAAACCCAAGAAAACCTAGAACAGCGTGACTTCTTAGACACTGAAGAACTTTCTGCTGTGAAGCAAAACCCCTGAGTCTTGAAGTGACTGTCCTTGGGAAGGCGGGGCTGACAGCTCAGGAGGGTCCGCACTCTCTGGAGCCAAGATTACATTTGTGTTGCTGCTGTATTGTTTTTTTCCACTTCTCTATTTAACGATATAAGCTACTGGAGGGTGGTACCGATCAGGAATCCGCTTCTCGTCCAGGCTTTTCACTGTTCAGCCGATTCCTTCTGCTTTCTTTTTTTGTGCCTTGTGCCCTTGAGGTGACCTCTGGCATGTTTTCCTGGTTGTTTTGCATCTCCCTTGAAAAGTGCCCTCTTGGTTTTGTTCAGGCAGCCACTGCCATGTTCCTCACATCTCTCTCCTCCCTGGTCCAGGACTTCATCTGGAGCAAGAAGCAGAACAGGCTCAGGGATGCCCTGAGCCCTGGGTTGGGACAGCACTGGCCTCCAGGGTCCAAGGAGTCTCAGATGTCAGGGCACTGTCCCCAAGGGCTGGCCACTCAAAATGCTCTCACTTCCTCGGGGCATCTGAGGCTGATGTTCCCAAGCTCTCAATGGCCCAGATGGACACACAGTGGTTCAACCACTTCCACCCTCTGCCCCCACCATACCACCTTCTGCCACACCTCTGGAGACGAGGTGACTTCTCTGGCTGCTGCAGGATTGTCTCCTTAGACGACAGAAGGGCTGAGGAGGCTGGGAGCAGGTGGTTGAAATAGCTGGTGCTGAACTTTCTCTCATAGGAATTGCGTGGATTCAAATCCACGGTAACCTGATGCCCTTGCCTTCCCAGCTCCACCCGGCCCCACCTCCCAGGGAGGGCAAGATCAAGGTCGCCGAAATCCCTGACTCGGTAATGTTTCTGACTCTCAGAGCCAACAGGTGGATATATCTCATTCCCAGGACGTGCTCGAAGGTCCCCACCAGGGAGTGGGCCTTGATGGTTGGGCCTCAAAGGCCAGAAACAAGGTGCCAGTGAATTGGAAAGCTTTGAACTCCTCCTGAAAGGGGTGATGAATCGCTCCCCCACCTCCACCCCTGCCTGCTGGGTCAGCTTCCTCCCGCTAAAACGGAGATGCCCCCTTGGACTAACTGCCTGATTGTTTGGTTCTGAGGCCTGGTTTGCTCTTAATTCCTGTATGAACTCCTCAGACCTTGATCCTTTTCCTGAGCTTTCTTTACTGCACTGGAGTTCCAACTCCCTTTGAGCTGTGGGAGGGAGGGGGGTTGCGGATTTTGTTGTTTTTTTTGTTTTGTTTTGTTTTGGCTAATCGGTGCATATTCAGGTACCACCTTTGACACGGGGCTCTCTTTCCTGACCACAGTGGGAAGTGTCTGCCAGATTCCATTTTCTAGGAGTTTCTGAGAGTGGGGCTCTTTTTTTTTTTTTTAAAGGGAGCTAATCTATTTCCTGCACTTCAAGAAGAATCAAAATGTTCCTGAATTTCAAATACCTCATGCAAAAATGTCTCCTGAAATAAGGGAAGAAAAAAAACAAACTTTGAAAATTTTAATGTTGGAGTTAGTGATGCCGAAAGGTTTCTGTCTTAAAAAAAAAAATCCTTACCAATTTTGCCCCTCAGGCAGTCAGTTCTGTGGAGAACTGTGTTCTGCATTACCTCTCAGCGTATCTCACGGCGGCTTTACCTCCAGTTTCTCTAGAGTTAGAGCAACTCCTTTCTTTGCAGCGAAACTCCATTTTGGTGAAAGATGAATTCGTGTATTTATTTCCTCCTCTTTTTGGGAAATGAGAGGTTGCAACCAAGACAGCTGAAGGAGAATCACACACACATCCATGGAAATGGCAAGTCAGCCGGGGTTCCCCCATGTCCCTTCTGTTGGCAATGGCCTCTCTGGACAGGTAAGGGGAGTCGACACGGCTGAGGATGACGACATCCGCAATACCGAGGCTGTCATAGTTTTTCTCTGAAGTGCCTGAAGATAGGAATGGGCCAGTGGTCAGGACCGACTGGGCCCCCCGCCACGGCTCCGCCAGGCAAAGCACCAGCGGCCTGCACTCAGCGCTGGCCAGGAAGGCCTTCCACACACGGAGCGGTTAGACTGCAAAAATCCAGATGTGCTTCCTGCCCTGACACAGTCTGCTCCTTGGAGCTGCTGTTCCCCACCCGGCCCCCAACCCCGTCCCACCTCAGAATCTAAGACCTTTCAGCCGGCCAAGCCAGGGCCGGGGGTCCTCAGCAAATGCCTTCCGCGGACACCAGGCCCACGGCCTAAAAGGGCTCCCAGGGCAAACTTACTCCCTGCTGCACTTGAAGTTGGGGAGGCTGCGGCTACACATTCCACAAAGTGCTGGCACTTACACCCGAAACCTGGAAGGCAGTTGACCGATTCATATAGGGTGGTGACCTACCTTTAACAAATGATGTCATGGTTTGGAATGGAATGTTCATTATCGCCAAGGACCTGGTTAGAGGTATAAAGACCTTTTTTCACCGTTACCTAAGTTTTCTTCCCTCTTAACGATTTTTTTTTTTGGTGTGTTGTACAGCAGTATAATTTTTCACTTATTTATTCCATCAGTAGGTATGGTTTGTACAATGTACAATGGTTCCATTTCAGAAAATAAAAAAAATATTCAAATCATGAACACCATGTGATTTTGTAGCATTATAATAAAGAGTGAGATCCAATTGATGGTGAGGATGTCCCTCATGGGCTGGCTCAGCCTCTCCTCCACAGCCATGTGGCCCTGGCTTTGTTCAGGACACTGGAAGCTTCTTGCATGCAGGGACTGCTGCCTCTAGCAGTCAGATAGCTGCCATCATTAGGCACCAGCTGGATGCTGTGGGTGGGCATTGTTGACTGCCTTGTTCAGGTGAGACAACAGCAGGACAGTCCCTTGCCAGTCAGGCTCAGTTTAAAGCCACACCCGGCCCCCCAGCCAGGGTCCTGGCCAAGGACACCAGTTTGCTGTGTCCCCAACTTTGGCAATTGTGGCCTGTGGCATGGATCGGGTCAACCCACAGGTGGATTGCAACTGTTATCTTGACTTGTCTTAACTCAACATCTCGTGACTTGTCAGACCAGAGCTAGAACCTTCCCAGGGCCCTCTCCCCTCCCAGCACCTGGGCATCTCTCCTTCTCAACTCGGACTTCCTCCCCCTAGTTGACAGTTTCGTTTTACTCCAGTCTTGCTGCCCCTCTTCCACCTGAAATCTGGCCTGGATGAGTGCCCAAGTGGGGAGCAGAGAGGTTATCCTCTTATAGAGGCCTGCACCAAGTCTCAACCTGGAGGCAAGCCTCCTCTCCTTCCCGTTTTGCCTGCCTCTTCTCCCCACCAGTTCCTTACTGATGTGTGCCAGTGTTTTTGCCATGATCGTTGCTCAGCAAAGTAAACTCCTGATATGGAAAGTTCAACTTGACAAAACACAAATCACAGGAGCCTTGTTTGCTTAACAAAAGAAAAAGCTTCAGCTAACATGCTCACCCTCTCCTCTCCTGCCTGCCTGTGTGTCTGCAGCCTGGGCCTGCCTCTGAATGAAGGCCCTTTCCTTGCAGACTCCTCTCTGGATTCCCCCACTTCTCTCTCACAGTTGTCTCTATCCCCAGATCTCTGTCTCTCAGTCACTGTGTCACTGTCTCTGTCTCTTTCAGCTCCCTGCTTGTCTCTGTGGAGCTGACTTCCTCTCATCCCCTTCACCAGGAGCAGCCATGTACAAGAGTGGACATGTGGGTTTTACAGCACTTGTTGAGCTCCATCTGGGGGCTGGGTGCTGGGAGCAGTGCTTCTTTTTTCCTTGTTGACATTAAGGAGTGGCTGGATGTTCTGAGCCAGGGCTCTGCTGGACTAAGGATGGTGTTGCCAGGGAATGGCATGCACTGGAAAAGGCCAGACTCGGATGGGGCAGGGCAACTAGGGAACTGGGGCAATAAGCCAAGCGGGAGGCCAGGAGTTGGCAACAAAGCCCATGGGCCCCTGATGATAGGTAATCAATATTGTGGCCAGCCGTGGTGAGGTCAGGTGGGCTGGGCGAGGCAGGCAGAGAGAGCTCAGGTCCAGGTCTAAGGTCAGACCAAGTCAACGAGCATGGGGGCCCAGGGTCAGGACCAAGGAGGGACTGCAGACCCTAAAGGCCATGTCTAACCATCCACCTTTGGGTGAGGAAGGCATGTTTTCCTCCAGAGGCTAGGGTAGGAACCTGCTGCCTTTGCCAGGTGCATTCCCCTCTTCTTCCACTAGGGGTCCCCCTCACCCACTCTCACTCCCAGGAGGACATGTGACCAAGGCCTGTCACAACAGCATGGTCCCTCCCCACCTTGGCCACAGCAATTGGCTTAGGGATGATCACATGAACCAACATGGCCCAATGAGAGCCAGTCTGGGATTTCAGTGGGAACTGTGGCAAAGAGTTCTAGAGAATTCTCTGGGGCATTCACGAGAGCAGCTGGGGCCACCTTCACAACAATGTAGGGCAAAGCCTGTCTGAGAGCATTTGAGGCCCAGGACCCAGCTCCTGAACTTCTCAATTTGTGAGCCAATACATGCCCTTGATAGTGTAGGGCAGTTTTCACTGTCCTTCCCCATGTGAGCCCCACCTCTCCATTCTAGGACTGGGAGTGTCCCCTGGACAAATCCAGGAGAAGTAGAGTCCATATAATAGCTCTGACTCCTTACTGGGTGTCATTCTTTTGGAGTGGCTCTCTCCCCTTCTAAACTGTTCCCCTTCTAATGCTCCCAAGTGACAAGGACTTGGAAGTTTCACAACCAAGGACAAGGAAGTAAACAGCAGATAACCTGGACCCATTTTGGGCTTGTGAAGCAGCCTCTTCTGTAATCCTCAGAGTTCCAGTGCTTCAGAGCTGTGTGACCTCAGGTAACTTAACTTCTCTAGGCCCCAGTTTTCTTATCTGTAAAATGGAGAGAATAGTAGTGTCTGCTCAGGTTGTGAGGATTAAATCATTATCGTACATATACTCAGGACAGGTTCTGGCTCATAGTAAATCTGGGAAAATGTTAGCTGCTATTGTTATTACTATTATAGTTATTATCCTTAAGCATGCCTAGACTCCAGAAATCCAGCTCCTAGAGAATGAGGCCCAGAGAATGGCAAGAATTGCCCACTCTCAGCTGCTTTGGGCTTGTTCTCTGAGTTATGCTTGGATCTCTGAAAACCTACCTCTTCTCCAAGTGATTGATGCTGGGGGGTCATCCAGCCAGCATGCCCCAGGTGACCCATACTCTGAATCATGCCTTGTAGTTGAGTAGAAGCCCAGCAGGAAACAGGCAGAAGGGAGGACATTCCTGGCTGAGAGATGGGCTTGAGCAAATGACTGGTAATTTGAGGACACAGCCCCATCGCAGGCACTGACTACTCAATAAAGCAGGCCCTAGCAGGGAACTTTGGGGCCTTGGGACTCAGAGGAACAGCTTACTGGGGCCTTATTTTTCCACACTCCCTCCTTTACCATTGTTCTCCCTCCATAGACTTAGAGGAAAAGCCTCTGGGGGCAAAGATCAGGATGTGTTACCAGGCCTGTGGGTCCTGACCTGCTCTGGGATATCACTGGTGCCCATGATGCACTGGGTGACTTGAGGTCAATGGCTTTCTTCAGACTTTGGCAGAAATAACAATCTACTTTGCATCAAAGCATCTCAACTGACTCCATTTTTGCTCTTTTCTGCCTCAGGGCTCCCTCAGTAGACTTCCCTGCCACCCTGAACAGTAGTTTAGAGTAGGGATCAGCCTCTCCATTATACAGATAGAAAACTGAGGCTAGGGAAGTGACGGCACAGGGTCCGTAGAGACTCAGGGAAGGAGGCTTTGGAACCCAGCCTTTCTTCCACTAAATGAGGGGATCTGCAAATATGACCCCCTACCTGATTTTGTAAATAAAGTATTATTGAAACACAGCCACACTCATTTATTTACATATTGTTCCTGGTTGTTTTCACGATACAACAGCAAAGTTGAGTAGTTGCTACAGAGACAGACTTATGTGGCTTACAAAGGTGAAAGTATTTTTATTATTTCAACTACACAGCGTTTCAATAGGAAACTGTCGAGTGCAGGGATTGGCAAACTTTTTCTATGAGGCGCCAGATGGTAAATAATTACCCACTATGTGTCAGACACCATGCAAGACTTTTCTGAGTTCTTTATCAATATGTAAGAATGTAGCTCAATGAATTTTAACCACTGAATACACCTACATAACCAGCACTTGGATCAAGAAACAGCACATTACTCATTCCCTAGAAGTCCCCTCCTGTCTCTTCTAGTCAATACCCCTTGAAGGGCAACCACTACCCCAACTTCCCTTTGCACAAATGTTCTTGCCCGTTTCTGAACTTTATGGTCAGGGAATCATACTGTATGTGCTCTTGTGTGTGCCTGGCTCCTTTCACTCAGTGTGCTGTTTGTGACATTCATCAATATTGTTGCAGTCATTGGAGGCCAGTCATGCTCATGGCTGGAGAATATTCCATGGGGTGAAGACACGACAGTGTACTTTCCCCATTCTCTTGCTGCTCGGTGTTTGGTCTGTTTCCAGTTTTCATGGAGCATTATGTATATGTAAGATATTGGACCTGCATTTTATCTCATTTCACCCTAGTTTCACTCCGAGAGCAGGACCAATTTGTAGCCTCATTTTAAAGATACAAAGACTGAAGGTCAGAGACAATGGAGCCAGTGGGGTGGCGCTGCCAGTGTGCAATGCGTGGGGAAGGGTGTGCTTGCTGTCCTGGCTCTCTGGCTTCCTTGTTAGAGTATGGCTTGGAATCCCACCATGACTGCACACTGCATGACTCCATTTATATGAAATTTCTACAAAAAGGAAAACTATGGAACACAAGTGAGAGCCTGGGTTGTCTGGGGCTGGGAGCAATGATTGGCTGTAAAGAGGCAGGTGGGAATGATTTAGGGTCATGAAAATATTCTAAAACTGGATTGCGGGGAGGATTACACAGCTGCGTGACTTACTAATGCATGTTGCATTGTACACCTAAAGTGGGTGAATTTCATGAGCTGTAAATTATACCTCAATAAAGCTGTCAAAAAAAACCCTAACCCGTGACCATCCAGTTCTTCAAACCCTCCCCCATGCCACAACTTCCTATCTGTAAAACAAAGGTCATCAGTCCTTAGACACTGAGGCTGGCTGTGCGAACTAGTGAGCTCTTGGGCTCCCCCAACGGCTGCGTGCTCCTCAACAGTGTGGCCTCTCTCTGCAAGCTGTTGGGGCTCTCCCTGGCCAGAGGTGACATCTGAAGCAATCGGATCCTGTTTGGCTTCTCTGAATCTGACCTGACGCCCAGCAGGGGCAGGAGAGCCACGCGTGGCGGATGCTCAGGCCCCAAACTGTTTCTCCAAGTAGTCCCCAGAGAAGGCTTCTGCCTTTCAGTTTCTGTACTTGTTTATTTTCAAAGGGATGTTGCCAGACCGCTAGGCCACCCCTGCCCTTTCATGGTTTGTTTTATGCAAGAGATTTCAGGAAGAGAGAGAGGAGGTAAAGTGACCTGAAACCAATTCTTCTGCCAGCAAAGAATTGCAACAGGCCCCAGCTGCTAGGTAGGAGGGATGCCTGGGGTCAGGATGTCTCTTTGCTTACCCCCAGCTCCCAGAACACTGAGAATCATGACACTGT